ATATTATCAGAATATACTGATATCCTAGCAGTTGATTCTTCTACTCAAAATAGAAGAAAGTTTATGAATCTTTGCAATTAACATTTCATTTATTTGTATTCATTTACATTGATTTCTAGGCTTCAGAAGTATATTCAGTCACAGGACATGGGAATTGTTTGTGGGCTAACTTTAGGCTTTTCTGAGTTATTGCTTATCTGAATTTTTTACTAAAATAATTCAGTTACTGTTTTTCACTATTTTGATTTGGAACATCATCAGTATCACAAGGGTTTCCTTGTGGAAAAAAGATTTCAATTTGGTAAAATATTACTGAATATTTTCCTGCAATTTTTAAAGAAAAACTATAGCAGGGTTTCTCAGGACTCCTTATATTGTTAAAAATTATTGAGGATCCCAAAGAGTTTTTGTTTAGGTTGCCATTTATTGTGTTAGAAATTGAAACTAAGAACATTGAAAATCATTGAATAATTTTGAAATATACTTATTTCAACATATTTAATTTCTCTGACTGTGAAAACGCTAGAATTTATTACTTTGGCTTATTTAGGTATCAATGCCGTTAGAATTTTGTAGTTCTTACTTAAAATCCAAAGCAAACTTTGAATATTGATAATTAATTGTTGACACTCAAAAGTCAAACTCTTTTGGCCTGAGACCTCAAAATATGGGTCCCTAGGTATATTCATATTTGTAGATTATATTGTGAAAATATCAATAGGAATAGAAATGACTGACTTTCCCTTTCTCTTGTTTTCTAAGGCTAACAGTTTAGGTCTCAAAGAGAGTACAGTATAGTGCTTTATAGTACTAGATAATCATTTAACTTTGGTTTTGATAAGTAGGCAGAAGTATTACCATAAAATGCAGAACTGTGGAAAATGTAATTGTTAGTTCTTGCAACTATTAAAATTGTATTTTTCCCCAGAAAGTTCTTCTATTTTGAAGTTACAGTTCCATTTCAGACCTAACTTCCGTTATTAACCTATTTCTACTGCTGCATAAATTAATTGTGAAAATAGTTACAAAACATATGGAAGGCTTACCATATTCACTCACTGTTGTGCTTTATGTGTTTTTTTTTTTAAAGATTTATTTAAAAAAAAATGAACAGGCCAGAGATGGGGGGTGGGCAGGGGGAGCGCTGAGAAGATTCACGAGAGACAGAGTGGGGAACAGAACAGGCAGATTGGCTGAAATACACTGCTGAGGGGAGCAGCGGGCAAGTCAGGAGAGATCTGCTGTGCCATGTGGGTAGCTCCCTGGCTAGAGATTGAACTTGTGCTATAGTGGCTGCAGATAGCTTCACAGGTTGCATCTTAACCCCTTGTGCCACCAGGGAGGCCTGTGCTTTATGTGTTTTAACTCATTTAATTCAACAATTCTATGAACTAGCTACCATTATCTCTCTGTTTTCTATTATCCTGGAGTTGGGATTCAGATTTTATAGTCTGATTCTAGATGCTTCACTTTTATTAAAAATTTTTTTTCACAATTATGTTTGTTTAGGTAAAGTTGTTTTATACTGTTGTATCTGCTTTGGGGGTTATAGAGTCAAACATCTACAAAGGTTCAGACATTTACAAACATCTGCTTTGTGGGTTATAGGTTCAAACATCTACGCCAGGCCCACCACCAATGTAGAGGCTATGCTTTTAACCAACCAGTAAACAATATTGCCTCAATTTAGTGAAACTGCCAAACTAATACCCACAATTATAAGACAAATTAAACAGATAGTGACTCTTTAAGATAATAACTTTATTAGGCAGATAGCTGTATACTCACATTAAAGTGAATCTTTTAATTATAAAACTAATATATGCTTATAGGAAAAATTCAAACTACATAAAATTCTTAAAATCGTGTACCCATTTGTATTTCATTTTTAAATAGACTATCTTAAAAGCAGTTTTAGATTTACAGAAAAATAGAGTCCAGAGTTCCCAGATACTCCTATGTCCAGTTTCCCCTATGGCACCTTATATTAGTAAGATTGCAATTGTTAGAGCTGATGGACCAATGTTTTATAATAATGATACATTACATTATTTTATAATAATGATACATTATTATTCAGATTTCCATAAATTGGCCCTAATGTACTTTTTCTCTTCCAGGATCCTGTCACATTACATTTAATTGTCATGTCTTTGTGGGCCCTCCTTGGTTGCAACAGTTGCCCAGACTTGTTGCATTTTTAATAACCTTGACAATTTTAAGAAGTACTGGTCAAGTATTTTGTAGGATCTACTTTGATTAGAATTTGTCTGATTTTTTTTTTTCTCATTAGTCTGGGGTTATAGGCTGTTGGAAGAAAGATAACAGATGTAAAGTGCTGTTTTCATGTCACTTGAAGGGTGAACATGATTTATCACTGTTGATGTTGACCTGATCTGTATTAAGTAGAAGTTGGCAAGTTTCTCTCCTGTAAAATTAATCTTTTTAACCATCTTCCATTCATATTCCTTATATGGAGTCTCTGCATATGCTTCACCTCCTTGAGGACAAAATATTGTATAAATTATTTGAAAATCCTATCTATAAGAAATGTATCTCTTTCCCCACTTACTGATTCATTCAGTCATTTACTTGTATCAGTATGAACTCATGAATATTTACTATGGGTTATAATCAAGTACTGCTTTATTTGTTGATCAGATTGTTCCGGTTTTGGCAATTGGCAGTTCTTTCATTTGGCTCCTATTCACCTATGGCATATCCTCTTCATTGTTCTTTTTACTCTTTATGGAACTGCAGAATGTTCCTGGCTCATCTTATATAGTTCCTGCCACACTCTGAGATATAGCCGTTTGGCCAAGGAGCCTGACTTGTTTTATTGAAGAATGGTATTAGAAACCAAGATCAAGGTGCTGGGTATGCTTGTGGCTGCTGGTGTCATTTCTTTTAGTCCCTCTTAGTGGACAGAGCGAAGAAATACATGTGCCTTCCTAACCTGTGTATGCACAGGTTATTTACAATTACTTAGAAATATTTGTTGTTTTTTTTAATAAATATTTCTGTATGTAGCCACCTATTAAGTTAAACAGGAATTCTTACTGAATTATCCAACTCTAATCCATCATCACAGGGATCATTACAGTTTCCTCCCTCTGCTTATTTGTAAGTTTCCATTCCAGTATTGAGATACCTGGCTTCCACCATCCACTACCAATTTACTCAACAGTTCTTTTCCAGTATAGAGGTACAGCAAAATTGAAATTGTTAACCTGAACCCTCATAAAGGACACTTTATCAACTTGGGTACAGTACTTTTGTGCATTTCCTTTGCCTTTAGTATTACAGATTTTCTTTATTTCCAAGGTTACTTATTCAACCAGCACCTATTTTCCTGTATTTCTTTTCCTATCATTAAATTTTGCTGGATAAGTCAGATTTTCTCTCACACTGTTCTCTTTGCTTTCATCACTACCTGAACTATTATTCTTTGCTTTTTCCTGGAATATATTTTGCCCTTATAGCTATAGCTCCCCACCTTGTTCTCTCCTTGTGTCTTATCCTGTGTGTCTCTCCCTTGATAATGCTGTTAGTGAATGGAATATTTGATAGGTGATGGTAGAATTTTTTGGTCTTTATGCCATAGACTGGCCTTATTTCTAGCATTGTCATTTAGCCTTTTTTAAAAAAAGTAATTGTATAACTACAAAATGGCAGTATTTAAAAAAATTTTTTTTGAGCTATTTCAGTAGGATGGCAGTATACTATTCAGTGCTTGGTTTCTGCATTTTTCCTCCCTGGGTACAATTCTGTCTCCAGAGATTATTAACATGGTGAACTTGGGTGTGCCTTAATTTTCTCATCCGTGCAATGGAGATTTTAAAATTATCTGCCTAATGTGATTGATGTGAAAATTAAATGAGATAATATCCTTTAAGTGCATGGAAGCACTTCATAAATGTTAATTATTAAACACTAGTGCTATGTAAGGTTACAGAACCAAAAATTACATCAAGGTATTGTTTTTAAGTAGTTGTCTTTTCAGACATTTGAGAATTAGAGTTTTTAACGCTTACTGTGATTACATTTTCTGGTTTCCCTAGGCTGGTGATCCTGGAATATGCCTCTTGTGCTAGCATGACTATGAGTAGTGTCTCCCATTTTCACTTGCTGGAGTGTTTTGGTTTGGATTATGTTATGGTTACCCTATTTCCAGGGGTAATAAAGGCTATCGGCATCCCTCAGATCAGGGATGGTGTAAAGGAGTGGAGTAGGCTGGCAACAGACTGGTGGAGACTGAGAAAGAATGCACGCCTAAGAGAGCTGCAGTGCTCTGGTCCTCCCTGTGGCCAAGAGGAGGCGGACCTGCTATAACAAGACTTGCGTTTTCAAGAATAGTCTGTAATTTTTAAAAAATCCACCAATTTTTCAGCATTGGCAACTAATTCACATTTTCTAAAAAGCACAAAAATTCATTGAGCCATATAAAGATAAATGCATTTTATTCACATGTAAAGCACATCACAGTTTGAAAAATGAGTGGGTCACGTTGCAGGCCGTATATATATTTGCCTACAAGTTGCTAACTTCCAGTATCTGGTGATTAATGTAAAGAATTAATTCTAATGTGGAAACTTGTAAGTGTTCTTTAATATTGGCTAATATTGTAGAACTTTAACTCTGTTACTATATATGATAAAAGTGTGTTATAATAGAAACTTTAAGACAGGAAAAAATTTATTAGCTTATGAAGTTGCCTCAAGGGAAAACCGGAAAGCACAGTTACTGAGAAAACTGAAAAAGGTAGTGCTGAATTGATCATAACTGAGAATCAAATACTTAATTAATTAAAATAATTTAGGATTTTCCAAAGACAATATAGATTGTATGTAGTTGCTATGCTGAAAATAGAAGTGCACATCTAATAGGCAAAAATTGTGAAGTTAATACTGCTATTGAAATGTGCTTCAAAATGGTTTTTCATAGTTTAGATTCCCGAAACTTGAAAATAAATTTTAAATAACTCTTTTCTCCTTTTAAAGATTGTTTTAAAGAAGTCATTCATATACGTCTGGATGAACTTCTCCGTGTTTTAAAGTCTATAATGAATAGACATCAGAACCTCAATTCTGTTGATCTTCACAATGCTGCAGAAATGCTTACTGCAAAAGTGAAAGGTAAGGAAAATCTGTAAAAGTGGGTTGATATGGACAACAAGAATGCAAAAAGAACACATTTTGGTCCATAATGACTAGCACCCTCTGTTCTCCTGTCCTTGGTATGATGTGTATCACAGACTTTACATATTCTTCAATATTTTAAATATTCCCACAGTCTTACCAAAATTCTCTATTTGACAGAAACACTCTAAAAATGCTAATTGAAATAAGTGACATTTAAAGTTTTGAATTTTTTTGAAAGCGTTCCTGCTCTTTTTCTTTTTAAAGATTTATTTTATCTATACAAGAACTGGAGTACAGGCCAGATGTGCGGGAGGGTGAGAGGAGTCACCAGAGACAGAGCAGGGAAGAGAACAGGCAGAATGACCGAAATATACTGCTGAGGGGACCAGCGGGTGAGACAGGAGAGGTCTGCGGTGCCATGTAGGTTGCTCTGCGGCCAGCGGGGATCAAATTGGCACTGCAGAGGCTGTGGACAGCTTCACAACACTGCACTCAACCGCCTGCACCACCAGGGAGGCCCCGTTCATGCTCTTTTGAAGTGTGTTATTAGTGTATAAAAAAAAAAAAAACTGTTACATGAGGACAGTTGATGCTAGAAAATGGCTGGTCATTTGTAATGACTGCACTTAAATGGTAGAACCAAATGGAGAAAAAGAAGTCTTCTTATTTTTAAAATGTGAAAAAATGAAAGTAAAAAGTAAGAATGTACATATGTGTATGTGCACATGTGTGTATACACGTACACCTTTTTTACATGTGCTAAAAGAATCAAGAAATGGAACATTATCCTCAGATGAAATGACTTGCCATCCAAAAGTGTTCAAATCTTTTATTCTGGGCTGTAGAATATAAGGAGGATAGAAGGTAAGGGGAATATCTGAAAAGAGATGAGCCTGAAGAGAGGGAGTTCAGTTAGAGATTAGAAATACTGGACTATATGAGGGTTTGATCTAAGGCAAAAGCTAGGGTGTGTTAGAGGTGGGGCATGGTTGTTACAGAAGAGGGGCATTGATGTTCGTTTGCTGAAACATACAGCAGGTGGAATGATAGGGAGGGATTTAAGCTGAAGTTTGGAGATGAAGATGTAGATTTGTTGATGTGTAAGTGGTGATGAAAGAGAATAACACCAACTGGTAGGATGCAGAATATGTAGAGGACTAAATATGAGATCCCGGAAATAGAGGTAAGACAACGGAACATGAGAAATACCTACAAAACTAGGGAAATGATCTGGAAAAAAATGTCATGGAAGTTAAAAAGTGCTGGCTTCTAAAATCATCAATACTAAATGTCACTGATAGGTATTACAGATTCAAATAATGTAACTAAACAGTGGCTTACCGTGGGTTGAGTAAGGAGAGGAAAGGAGACTTTAGCATGTTCTGAATTTCAGAGGTTGAGTAGGCATTAACTGGGTTGGTGTGGTGAGGTGGGGGTGCAAGTGTGTTCTATATAAGACTTTTGTATAAAAAGTCTGGATATGAAGAAGATAGATTGGTGAAATACTCATAACTAGAAAGGTCAAAGGGCAAGTGTCAAGGGATGAGGCTGTAAGATAAAGTAAAACCTTGTCAAAAGACAGTCCATATAATTAAGAACAACTTGCCCCCTATGTTTTGACATAGATTTATCATGTTTGTGAGAATCTTGTTTTTGTATTTCAAGCACTGAAAAAATGTAGATGACTTTAAATGGAAAAATGGATTGCTTCTGAGAAGTGTGACTTTAAAAAATGTGCCTAGTAACTAAATTAGTTTTTAAATAGACTGTTTATAAGTGCCATTTAACTTGACATAGATAGGGATATTTGTGTCTATAGATAGTAAAATTTCCATGCTTAGAAATAGGGACCCATTCAATTGTTGTCAGTGGCTATTGTGTGTAGTCAGGATGTCCTGGGGAAGGAGTGTGCCTGTGTATAGTTTGTGTCCACATTCCAGAAACAGACTTGAAGAGAGAGGCCACTTAGCTGCCTTGAAGATCATTTTTCTTTGAGATAAAGCAATCTTTTGAATATTATTTCCCACTATGACTGTCTTTACCCTTGGGATTATTATTTTACTTTTGTGTTGGAGGAAATCTAAAAGATTATTTTGTTGTTGGGAAACTTACGCTGTGTCAGTAGGATTCCATCAGACTAGAAAACTTAAAAAATAGTGTTTTCTTTGGTGTAAGTTTATGTCTTTAAATAAAAGTTTCCCCCCACTTATTGTTGAAGAGTCTAATCAATAATCTCCCAATTAATGAAAAATATTTAGTGACCTGAAAAATTGAGGTTAAATCAGAACTTATTCTGTTATTTAACAAATAATTTAGTTTTCAAAACCTAGAAAGGTAAGGGTTAGGTCGAAACCAACTTTGAATATCCATTCTGTAGAAATCTAAGTGTTTTTTATTTTCTGACTGTTTTAATAATTTCAAAAACCATAAAGGTAAAATTTTATTTTAAAGTGAAAAACTTAAAAATCATTGTATGTTAGGATCAGAGAAACTGAGGAATGTGGAGCTCATTTAGTTATAGCTGTGATTACATTTATGGGGGGGTTAATAAATGTTATCACAGTATTAAAAAAACAGAATAAGTAAATAGCTTAAGTATTTTATTGTTTGGGACAAAACTTCTTCACACTGTACTGTGGAAATGTACACAGAATAAAGTTGCAGTTTTTGGTTAGGTTCAAGTTAAAGACATTCATTAGTAAGAAATCTTCATATGTGAATATTCCAGAAATTTCTATAAGCCATCTGATCAGAACAACTGGCTCTGAATACTACCTGACTTTGGAAGATATTGGCATACATTTGAATTAACCTCAGAATTTTTCAAAATAACCCTTATTTAAAAAATTACTCTATAGTCAAAACTAAAACAATTTTAATTGAACTTTCCTTTTCAGAAAAAATAATAAATGAAATAAGGCATTCTGTGAAATGTGGACATCAAACTGTCAATGCCATACACCAGGCAATTATAAATAAAAACAAAACCATACACAGAGTAACTTTAGAATCAGGAAACTATAATCTCAGTGTGTGCTATCCAGGTTTGAATGATTAAACCTATCAATTTCTGTACATGAAAGTGAGAAGTCAGAATGTTTGACTTCTCGTTTTTTATTTTAAGTGTGGACCTACCATCTATTATACCTTTAAAAAAAAGTTCTTAGCTTCCCCACCTTCATTTTAGTAGTGATTTGTATTTCCTGTGTTGCTTTATTATAAAGCAAGAAATTCAGTCTCACAAAATATTTGCAATATGATAAGAGAGATATAGCTTATTGTTGAAGTAGATAAATATAATCTTCATCACTCAGTAATTTATTATGTATTTCATATTTGTGTTTTTATTATTTACAGTTATTTTGGTCAGTTTTATTTGTAATATAAATTAAAAGAACCATTTATTTAAGTTTTTATATCTGTATTTTGCTCTACATTTAAAATTCAGCAAACACAAAAATAAGCTTTAATTATGCATACAAAATTGTAGCTGCCACATATTTTCTTTCTGTTTGAAAATCTTAATTTTTAATAGGCAATCAATTCACTTGGTTCATAATACAAATGGCTAAGAGTTTTCAATGGTGATAAGTCTTTCCTACTTCAGATCTTTTGCTACCATTCTTTCCCTAGATAAGCAGCAACTATTAACTATTTTTTTGTTTCTTTCCAGAGACATATAATACAAATACAGCATGTCTTTTCCCCAATATTTTTGATATAACTGGTAGCATTTTGCTTCTTGCTCATTGTTCTGAGTTATCTATACGTAAAAGATTTACTTACTACTTTTTAAATATTTTTTTAAGGCTGTGTGGTAATCCGTATACTGAGCACTATAATTTATATAGTAATTGCTTGGATTGTTGCCAATTTTTTTCTGTTACAACAATGGTACAGTGAAGAGGTAGCCATGTAAACTCCTAGATCAGTAATTACTGGCTCTGAGGACATGCACATTTATTTATATTTTTTATATTGCCAAATGACTTCATTTGATACTGCCAAATGAAGACTTTCTGTCCTGATAGCAGTGCTGAAAAGATTGTTTCCTGTATCTCTGCCAACAGAACTGTGTTATTCAGTCTGATAGTAAAAATTTGTTCATCCTTTCATGTGAATTCCCCCTTTATTTTTTCTTGATAGTTGGTCTCTGTGTGTGTTGAAAAATTGTAAGTGAAATTAGCCCTTAATCTTTAATATAAATTGCATGTTTTCTCTAGTTTGTTTTTATCTTTTGATTTGCTTGTGGTATTTATTTCTGCACTTAAGTTTATCAATCTTTTTTATGTTTTTGGATTTTAGATATTAAGAAGGACTCCTCTGGTTTTTTCTTCTAATTTTTTTATTATATCATTTATTATTTTAAGTCTGATACATTCTAGAGTATCTGTGATACTCTTTATTGAATAAAGTAATAACTGCTTTATTGAATAATTTATCTTTTCCCCACTGAATTGAAATGCCATCTTTATCATGAATACATGAATTGTTATATTTCTGGGCATAATTCTGTCCCATTTACTTGTTTAGTCATGTTCAATACTGTAGTTTATAGTATATTTTAGTATCTGGTGGGGATAGCTCCCTTTTCCATTACTCTTTTTGTTCAGGATTTTGTTTTTTCATTAGGATTTTTGAATTGACTTGTATAATTTCAAAAAATATCTGTTGGTATTTGAGGGTGATTTGAATTAAATTTATAAAGTAATTAAGAATTTACATGTTTACATACTGTATTTACATACTATATTTTTAAAAATATAGTATGCATTTCATTTATTATGTTATAGTATTATAGTAGCATTTCAGGTTGTCTTTGTGTTTCTAAGAAGCAACTTAGTTTTCATTATGTAAATCTTGTACTTTGTTTCCCCCCAAAACATACTTCTTTCCATGCAAATGGTGACATTTCTTCCATTATATCTTACAGTTCAGTGGTTTTCAAAATGTGAGCCCTGATTTTTGACATCAAATTTGTGGATTATGACCAGCATTTTTTTAAAAGATATATTTATTTATACAAGCACTGGGTACAGTCAGAAGCGCAGGAGGGTGAGAGAATTCACCAGAGCCAGAGTGGGGAGCAGAGCAGGCAGAAGGACCGAAGCACACTGCTGAGGGGAGCAGCGGGCGGCAGGAGAGGTCTGCACGCCATGTGGGCCCCTCACCCGGCGACCAGGGATAGATCCTGCGCTGCAGAGGCTGCGGGCAGCTTCTGCGCCACCAGGGAGGCCCGTGACCAGCATTTTAAAATATGAAATAGAATAGAGAGCAGCTGAGAATTTGAAGAACAGCTAATAGTGTGAAAAGATTGGTGACAAAGACACACATTAGCAGGTTGTTAAATAGCCCACACTAAAGGTATAAAATGTGATTTTTTTTTTAGCTAAGTCAGTGGCAGTAGGACTAGAAAGGAAGACAAAAAATATTTTATGCATGTTTTGAAAGCAAAGCTAATGAGCTAATGAATATCAGGAAAACAGATTTGGAAGGATAGAGCAGAAGAGTAGGTAGCGTTCAGCTGCGATCACAGTACTTGCGGGTTAAGACTGGAAAGAAGGGTAGGAAATATATCAAGCATTGGAAATGTTTGTCTAGAACTCAGAGGTTAAAAACAAGACAGGTAGTTTTTGAGATTCCTTGAGTGATAATGTATAGATAAGGAAGCCACAATGAGAACGGCAGGTAGAATGAGAATGACTGTGAAGTATGAGTTGCTTACAGATAGATACATGCATGTGCCCATGTTTACTAACATGCTTGTAGGCGTCTCACATTTGTTTTCCCAGTCTTTCAACTTTTCAGCAGTTGCTATTTTACATAAGAAGGAGAAGAAGAAATGGAAGCTAGGTAATGTATCCAGAGTAACACAAGAGGTGGTGGAGATCAGATTTGAACTTAGGTCTGAAGCTGAACTTAGGTCTTTACTTCTAGTCACTATAACAAACTGCTTCTAAGAGAGCCGAATACTTCAAATGGAATGAGGTCGTTAATATTTGTAATAATTATAACAGCTGATCTTATTTAGAATGTACTTGTTGTGTGCCAGACCCTGTTAACTTCTTTGCATGGATTATTGCATTAATCCTCACAGCACATTTTTGAGGTCAATGCTATTGTTAAATGAGCTCTTATTTTGCAAATAAGAAAGCTGAAACAGAGGCTTTTCCAAGGTTGTATACATATTAAGTAGAAGAGTTGTTTAGAGTTGCAGAATGGTCAAGTTGGATGAAAGCTTAGGGGAAAAAAGGCCCTCAATTTTTATTAATAGGAGATTATTGTGGACAGGGGAGCACCTGGCGAGACAGAAGAGGTCTGCTGCGCCATGTGGGTTGCTCCCCAGCCAGCGGGGATCAAACTGACACTGCAGAGGCTACGGACAGCTTCACAGTGCTGCACTCAACCACCTGCGCCACCAGGGAGGCCCAGAATTATATTTTTTAATCTGCCAGTCATAATTAGTGCTAGGAAAAAGAAAGAAGTTTGGATAGTGTTATAAATGTTTTTTCTTTAAATTCTAGCAAAGTTAGAAATAGATTAGCCTTTACGTTTTTGCTCATATTATAAATTATTTAAAGTCTCTTCCAATAAGATTATAAAAGCTGCTTTATTGAGGTATAATTGATAGATATAAACTACATATATTTAAAGGGTACAGTTTGATAACTTTTGACGTGTACTCTTATGGATTTGTCGCAGTCCAGATAATGCATGCCCCTTTTTCATCCTGTTCAAAATACTTTCTAATTTCTTCTTCTTTGACTTACAGGTTATTTGGAAGCGTGTTTAATTTCCAAATATCTGGGGATTTATCATAGGTCTTTTTGTTATTTTTCATTTCGTTCCATGTAGTCACAGAGCTTATTTTGCCTGATTTAAATCCTTTAAATCCCATTAAAACTTCTTTTGTGGTCCATAATATTGTGCATTTTGAAGTTGTTTATTTGGTGTGTATATCTATAGAATTATGTCCTTTGGAGGAATTGACTCCTCATTATAAAATAACCTTCTTTTCCCCTTGTTTTCTTTATTCATGAATCTGCTTTGTGTGGTATTAGGCCCTAAGCAGGGCAGTTGTAGACCTTACAATTAAGTTTGTTTCTTTTCTATCAGGATTTTTGGCCTTTTTGGCTTGATACTCAATGTCTTGAAAACCATTGTTTCACTTTTTTTGAGCAGGTTTCTTTTCATTTCTAGCAGAAGTGTAAGCCTGTTTTTCCATCTTGGCTAGAGCAGAAATCCAAAAATATCTTTCAAATATTTTTTAAAATACTTATTTTATAATCAATGGGGCTTACTTACAGTGATTCTTAGGTTGTTTGTATCAGGATATTTAGCAGAATCTAATGAAAAGTATGGGCTTTAGCTTCTTCTATCTATAAAGGCTTAAACAGTAAAGTCTTAGTTGTAATTTTATGGGGCTTACAGGCTTGAGGTTTAATTCATCCCTGCTGAGGAATCCTTGATTTCCTTCCAGTAAGGAATTTCAATCATAGTTGCATGTTAGAATCGCCTAGGAGAGCTTTTGAATGAATATCTGTGCTTCACCAGACCTGTAAAGTCTGAATCTGAATCTGGGATCCAGTCTTTAGTTTTAAAACTCTCTAGATAACTCTAATATGTAGCCAAACTTAGTAACAACTGTTTTAAAGCATGGGATGGCTTCCTCTCTACTTGGTTTCTTTGCCTTTATTGGCAAGGACCTCTGGAGGGTGGATAAAGCCAGCCAGTTAAGGCCTTTAATTCAACCTGAGTAGAATGGTTTACTTTAAAAAATTCCACCTTCACATTTTCTTGGTAAAATTCAGCTGGACTTTTAACCCAGGTACATACAGAATAATTTATAAAAAGAATCCTTGTCCAATATGTGTCACAATTTGCTTTACCAAAATGTAAAATGTTAGACCATCCCTATGGTTAAAAAAATAAAAAAGCTGTATGTCAATTAGCATGAACCTCAAAACCCAAGAGCCTGTAAGAAATAAGACTGTAGTTAATTTATAAATCATTAGGTGCTTTTTATGTAATTTGCTTTGTATATAGGTGTCATACTATGTCAAATGTCTATACGATTTCAATTATTGGTGATTTATGGTGAAAATATACTTCATGTTCATGTCAGTGAGCTACAGTATGTTTAACTCATATTTTAAAATGCCAGAAAGCAGTAAATAAGAGAGAATAACACAGACCACTCACTCTTAATGAGAGAGTTCTGGTGTGGTGTGGACTTTGTGACTCTAAAACCAATTGATTTCACATTGAGTCACTTTTAAGATGTGTGAAATTATGTAATGCTTGGGGCAGTTTGGAATGCCAGCTACTTTTATGCATGCTGATTCTTTTCTTCGATTTCTTTTATAAAGAACTTGACTATCATAACCTATTCGTGTATTAGGTTTTTCAGTTTCTGGATCTTCTAATGTTTCTAGAAGTAATGGTGGATTTTTAAAGGATTAAATGACTGTAAATTGCGTTTGAAATGCTTGCTCCCTCATTTATTGTAACCACCTTTTCCCTCTAGCTGTAAATTTCACAGAAGTTAATGAAGAAAACAAAAATGATCTCTTCAGAGAAGTGTTTTCTTCCATTGAAACCTTGGCATTTACCTTCGGGAATATGTAAGTAGACAGTTGTCCTTTAAAGACATTTGAGCATAGGTGATTGAGTGAGAGATTTCCATGTTAATTCAGTAGATACATGGAAAGTAAAGTATTTACAAATGAAATACATCACAGCTTTGGAAAACCTGCATTCTGTGCTCCTTTATTACTACAAAATAACTATTTGGAAGCAACATCCATTTGCATATGATTATGTTTGTGGTTTATGTGAGTGAATTCTAGGCATTTATTTCTAAGGTTCTCATGTTAAAAAAGTTTTTTTCTAGATGACATGTTGAATGTAAAGCTGGTGACCAAGCAGTGTAATGACTTTTGTCTTTTCCTTTTTTAACTCCTCTGCATAGTCTTACAAACTTCCTTATGGGAGATGTAAGCAATGATTCATTATTGCGATTGCCTGTTTCTCGGGAAAGTAAGGTAAGCCAAGTTTGTGTGAAAGAAAAGACTTCAGTATTTTTAACTTGATATTTTGAAAATTTCTTAATTTTTATCTCAACATTTTTTGAGATAGTTTTTGAATTTAGAATTTATTATAACAAGAAAAATAGATCAGTCATTTTAAATAAGATAAATTATGGTCATTTTCAGAAACAAAAATTTAAACGAACCTTTTAAGTCAAACTCATTTCAAAACATGTTATTTTATAGTGTCTTATGAAATTAATATATATGCCATCTAATCCAAATTTTTAAAAAATAATATTAAGTCATTTTTTTCCTCCTAACCTTGTCATCTTAAAGACTGAAAGTGTTGATCTTTTCACACATCCTGCATTTTTTTACCATGAAACACTTTACTAACAAGCCTGTAAGTCTTAATTTTCCCTAACAGCATTCTTATGTCAGAGGATTGGTGTTCTGATTCCCAAATAGATGAAAAATTGATGTGACCTGATAGAATGTGAGTCATGTATGTAGAGTATTGGTAGTAATGTTTTCACACTTGATCTTAGCTAAAACGCAAAGGACATTAGCATTATTTTTATTTGATTAAATTCTTTTCTCCAAATGCAAGATATTTAAACAAACTCAGTTAGGGACATTTCCTGTTCAAGATGACATTTCTGGATCATTTCCTGCAGATGATGAAACCCAAAAAGTATTTCAATAAATGTTTAGAAATGTATCAGACATTTGTGTTATATCAAAATAATATAAAAAATTCAGGTCACTCTTAAAAATGATACAAAATATGAATGACTATTTAAGGTATTTGCTCTATGTATTACAGTAATGAGGAAAACATTGTGACTATTTCTGAAGTCATTTATTTCCATTGGTGAATCAGAGGCCAGAGTATAAGCCCTATCAGAATGATGAATTTTATCCTGTGATTCATGATTGTTCCTTAACTTATCTTTTCAAACTTGCTAATTCTTAATATATAATAAAACATTCTGACAAGGCTCTAAATAATTTAAATTTTAGGTGTGAATCATATTTCCTGTTCCTTGCCTCTCTGGTGCACTCATATTTATACTAATACTTAATTACTTTGTTTAACAAACAGTTTTGAAAACATCCTTGAAAAATAATAGTTGCTGTTTATTTAATAGTGCCTACTATGTACCAGGCACTATGTGAAGCCTACATCATCTTAATCCTTAAAATAGCTTTATGAAAGTATGTTCTTATCCCTATTTTAGAAAAGAGCAAACCAGTTGAGTAATTCATAGCACACTGTCATATAACTACTAAGTGATAGAACTGGACTTCAAATCCAGGTCTCTCTGATCCCTTTTGCATTGAATCCCTGTATACTCTTCATTGCTCAGCTAAATATATCAAATTTAAGTTCTCTCAAATTTTGTAGGTAATATTTTCCTGCTCTGTCTAGTAAAATAGCCGCTTGCTACATGCAGCTCTTTAAATTTATTTTAATTAAATAAATAAAATTAAAAATTTACTTGTTGTTTATGTATTAGCCACTTTTCAAAATGTACAAACAACTACATGGAACTAATATCAGTAACTATCTTATTATCTTATTAGATAGTGCAGATATTGGAACATTTCCATCATCATAGAAACTTACACACTTAAGTTGTCCAATAAACTTCTAGAAAATGCTTGTCATATGATAAAGTTGCAAAAGGCCATTTTTACTATATAATAAATGACTAGAAAAGAGGTCTTTGGCTTCCATTTAGACAGCAGTCTATTTAGATTGTGTCTGTAACTACTTAAATTTTGAGAGCTGCAGAATTGAAATATTGAATGGATTCACTAACATTAACTAGTGCTGTTCGTAAACAATAAGGTTATTCATTTTGGACCTTGAGAACTACTGCTGTAAAAAGCTATATAATTCTTATAAATGTTCTGGTATTTTAACAGACTTTTAAGGCCCTTTGAGTTCTAAATACTTGAAATTCCTTAGTTGGAATTATGTCAGAGTAACAAATTAGAGTGAAAAATTTCTGAAGCAGAGGTCTGTTATCTTCTGCTCTAATCTTAAATTTGTTTTCTTCCATGTTGTAAGTCTTTTGAAAATGTTTCTGTGGAATCAGTGGACTCATCTAATGAAAAAGGTAATGCTTGAGTTATTTAAAACTTTGTCAAGTGTTCTGTAGTTACTTTCAGTAATCTCTTTTTGCTTAGTAACCTAATGTATTCATATTTACCATTGAGTGATATTTAAAGTTTTAGATATAAAACTTCAGAGAAAAGCCTGCTAGAATAGAAAGATGATCATAGAGACTTGTCCTACTAGAACAGAAAGATAATGATAGAGACTTGTCAAGAATTATATAGGACTTGTAAGTTGATGAATGATAGAAATACATATTAAGAGAAAAAATACATTATAATTAAACAATTTTAAACTCAAAATTAAACTCTGAATTTTTAATTCTAAATTTGTCTCCTGTGTAGTTTTAACTAGTTTTTTGAAGAACTTAGGATTTGAGTGATTTGAAGATCTTAGGATTTACGTGATTCTTCATTTAGAATTATGTGATCACGTTTAATGTATTCTTACTTGATTTTTTTTTTTCCCCAGGAAACTTCTCTCCTATGGAACTAGACAATGTGCTATTAAAGAACACTGGGTCTATAGAATTGGCTTTGTCATATGCTAAAACATGGTCAAAATATACCAAGAACATAGTTTCATGGGTTGAAAAAAAGCTTAGCTTGGGTGAGTTGTTCTTTTGGGGTATCTGATTAACTTTGGAGTGTAAAAAACAAAATTGTTTTGTAATTCACTTTCTATAGACTCTGAGTAAAATGATTCCAAATTAATAGCTGTTTCATTATACTGAGTAACATCATTGTCCATTTTCTCTTCTTGAAATTGAAAAGATGCTTAGAATAAATGTAGTTAATGAACATGACTGTGGACCAAACCACAGATTTGGGGACATAAAAGATAAATAGAATGACTTTACCATTAAGGAAGTAATACCATAATATGTAAAAAGAAGTGTAATCATATACAAGGAAATAAAAGTAACAAAACGTATAAGCAGAAGACAATGGAAACATATAAGGAGTATCTTAATAGCTATTATTTTCCCAGTGTTTTATGGTTGACATAATGCTCTCCCATCCATGATCTTATTTAATCCTTACTAAAACCATGGAAAGGATGCAAGACAAGAATTACTATCTGAGTTTTGCAATTGAAGCAATTGAGACAAATGATTGACCCAAGGTCAGAGAGCAGATTTGCCTAAGATCATAAAGCAATGGCTGGAAGAACATAGAATTTACCCAAAGCCCAGACTCTTTCTGCTACATTATTTGTTTTCTAATAGGAAATGGCCATCACGATCCACCTGTGATTAGTCTTATAAAAGGATAATATGTAAGCATAGGTTCCAACTCCCTCATAGAGGTGAGGTCTAAACAAGTATACTTTGAAAGTTTCCTATTTGCTTTTGATGAGCACTTCCAAATAAGAATCACAGCATCATATCATAACATAGACTAGTATTTCTGATCACTTTTTAATTGGGGAATTGCAAATAATTTTACAGTGTGGAGGGAAAAACAAGTTAATTTTCTCTTCTCTTGCCTTTTTTGACCTTTTCAGAGTTGGAGTCAACTAGAAATATTGTCAAGTTGGCAGAGGCAACTAGAACTAACATTGGAATACAAGTAAGTGTTCAATTCAAACTGAATGAACTTCTGATAGTGCTATAGGGCAGGGAGAGCGGCACCCCAGAAACCCCAAACCTGCCTTCTCTAAATAGGTTCTGCCATCTGTAGCATCAACACAAAACATACAGACTTTTAATGGAAAGGAACTTTAATACAATTAATAAACAATACAGAAAAAACAAAGAATATAGTTTCTAAATCAAGCACCCAAAGCTACCTATCCCCTGTGGGTTAAATTCCACTCATACAGGGTTGGCCCAGAGCAAAGCCCGAAAGCCTGCCACAAGTCTAAAGCACCTTTCCGCAGGGACTCATTGAAAAGGATCAGAAACAACCAGACAAGATTGGGAGGAAAAGAGCAGAATCAAAAACAAGATAAAAACTGCTGTTGTTAACCTCCCCACGGGTCTCTCACCCACATCTGTTTCAACCAGTCCACAACCAAGAAGCAAATGCAGCTTCTTCACTTCACATGTCTCTCTGCTCCATGTGCCTCCTCCAGGTCTCCTTCTGGCTTTCCATCCTGCTTCCTTCCTCCCCCAGTCTCCTCTCCAGTTTCTTCTCCTCCCTGCTCAGCTCCACCCTCCTTGGGTGGCACAGGGAACCTGGAACCTCCCCCGTTCCTGGGCACCACCCTGTTACAATAGTACATTGCAAAATCAGAAAACATCATGGTTAATATTGGAAAGAACTTAAATGTTAATGTTTTTACTGACAAAATAAAATCCTTTTAAATTACATAGGTACCCATTGAGAAAAATTAAGAAATTTATCATTTTATATAGATACTGTCTTGTTAGCTACTAATTTTGCTAACTAGCTTGATGATTATAATTAGTTTTCATAAATACTTTTCTCATATAGTCCTATTTAGGACTAATCACTCTTCTGAAAAAAACTTTAAACTTGGGAAAAAAAGGTAGTAGGGGCTCTAGAACTCTTGTGCCATTTCATTGAAAAATTTACTTTTAAATTTTAGGAATTTATGCCATTGCAGTCTCTATTTACCAATGCTCTTCTTAATGATATAAAGAGCAGCCACCTTTTACAACAGACAATTGGAGCTCTCCAAGCCAACAAATTTGTGCAGGTAAAAATTTGCATTATAAGACACTTTTTTCTTTTAAACACCATGCCTTTAGAAAACAGCTTTTTTTTTCTCTTTTTAAAAATAATATCCTTGACAGCCTCTACTTGGGAGAAAGAATGAAATGGAAAAGCAAAGGAAAGAATTAAAAGAACTTTGGAAACAGGAACAAAATAAAATGGTTAGTATTATACTGGAGTTTCATCTACCAATTTGAATATTTCTCATCATCTGCAATACATAATATGCATCTTCCCTGAGAAATGCATACTCTGTAATTTTTCTAAATTCTTTCTTAACTATTTTGCCAAATATCCTAAAGAAATTTATATATCACAGGTTTTTTCTTCTGTATTTAACACTTTTTTTTTCTGTGTAGCTCGAAACAGAGATTGCTCTTAAAAAGGCAAAATTGTTATGCATGCAACGTCAAGATGAGTATGAAAAAGCTAAATCTTCCATGTTTCGTGCAGAAGAGGAGCATCTTTGCTCAAGTGGTGGTGGATTAGTAAAAAATCCCAACAAGCAGCTAGAAAAAAAAAGAAGACTGGAGGAGGAGGCTCTGCAAAAAGTAATGACCTCATTTTGTTATTTGCAAATTGAACTAGCTATAATCTGCTAAGGCTTTTGTTATCCAACTTCAGCATACATGAGGATCATGTAGATGATTTGTCTAAGCAGATTGTCTAACTATAGAGTTTTTGATTTAGCCAGTCCTGGAAGGGGGCCCAGACAGCTTATATTTCTTACAAGTTCCTAGGCTATGCTGCTGTGGATCTGACTTTGAGAACCACTATTCAAAGAGACTTTTGCAGATTCTTAGGAAATTATGGGTTTGTTTGTACAATAGATTTCTTAGAAAAGGCAGTAGTTTAATATTTTTTATTTGATTAAAAAAGTCTACTTTTTAGGAAACTATGTATGTGTACTAATCCTAGGACCTGTTTAAAAGATTAGGCTGGAACTTTATATTATTTATGAAATACGATTTGATAAAGAAATTCTTTAAGATTATAATCTCAAATGGTAAATATGACTAGAAGTGAACCTTTTATGGACAGATATTATACTAATTATAAATCATATATAATTGTCCATTAAAGTCAGGTGCCCTTGAATTACTGACCAAAACAGATTGTTACCTTTAGAAATATTCTATTTAAAACAGATTTTAGAAATTTCACGCATAAAGACTTTTAAAGTTGAGCTTTCTACATTAAGTGTTTGTATTAAAATATAGATTCTATCAATCAGTCTTATTTTTTCCCCTGGGTATTCCCAAAGGTAGAAGAAGCAAATGACCTCTACAAAGTTTGTGTGACAAACGTTGAAGAAAGACGAAATGATCTAGAAAATGCCAAAAGAGAAATCTTAATTCAACTTCGGAAACTTGTTTTCCAGTGTGATCTTACTCTGAAAGCTGTAAGTAATTCCTTCAGTTTTTGAAGGCAAGAGGGAAAAAAAAGTCTGTATCTACAAAAGAGAAGGAGCTGCCAGATGAGTCATGATACTTATGGGATTTAATTTCTGAGCATAAGGAACATTTAGAGTGAAAACTGACTTTCAGTTTTTAATAGTAGTATATGGTTTGAGTTACATATTTTATCTCGATCCCCTCTTTCCCCCATGGATTAATGATTGTTCAATTACTATTGAAGTATGAGAGTTTGGAATTGCCTCTAGTCCACTGTCTTTCTTGGCTTGGTTAACAAAATAGATTTCATCCCTGAGACATCTTTTAGCAATGCAACTTATTCTTCATCAGAATTTGAGTAAACTAAATATTAAAATTGAGCCCAACGAGTCATCTGAAGATAAAGCATACTTCTCTCAAGTGTTTTCATTTGCCTCTATAAAAAGAATTTGGTAAAAAAATTTAGATACATAAACCTTTTTGTGTACATTTCACAAGTTTTAACACTTGTGTAACACTGATTCTTTCCTTTATTTCCATTTACCTAAATAATAAATCCAATAACTTTGTTTTTAAGATCTTTTTCAGCAGTAACATTTCCTTTTTTATATCTTTCATATCTCTGCTGAAACTTCAGTCTTTCTATATTTCTAGGTTGTTTGCCCCTAATTTCTTTCAATGCTGCTTTAGAGTCTTTTTTGGATAACTCAAATAGTTGAGTCATCTCAGTGTTGATGTCTATTCTTTTGTGAGTTGTTGAGATTTTCCTGCATCTTCATATAACAACTAATTTTGGATTATATCTTGGACATTTTCAGTATTATATTATGTGACCCGGGGTCTTCTTTATTACCTGTATTAAATGTTGATTTTTTTAAATTTTATCAGGCATTTCATCTAGTTAGATTCACCCTTTAGCTCCTAAGTGGCTACCTTCTAGGTCTTCTGGCTAGAAAAGTATACCTACTCTGCTGCTATTAAGGGTCAAGTTGGGGAATGATAAAAAGGGAAAAAGAATAATAAGGATTTTATTCCTCTCACTCTTCCAATCGCAATTCCTTTGCCATAGAGAATTCCCCTCAGAATCTTAGATATCTGTCCATCTGCTACTGCCATCATTGCCATCTGCCACAGGACCACATCTTACGGCATGGGTCATGTTTCAGGGCTGGGGCAGAAGAGAAGATATGTAAAAAAGAAATGAGAAACTTTTCCCCCATCTCTTGTCGTCACATGTCTTTGAACAGAAGCTAAGTATTGGCTGGGAAACGTAGTAGCAGACAAAATAACAGGAAGCATACCCCACTGAATTGGTCATATTTAGCTTATTTTTTTTTAAAGATTTTATTTATTTATTTATACAAGCACTGGGTACAGTCAGAAGCATGTGAGGGTGAGAGAATTCACCAGAGCCAGAGCGGGGAACAGAACAGGCAGACCGACAAAATACACTGCTGAGGGGAGCAGCAGGCGAGACAGGAGAGGTCTGTCGCACCATATTTAGGATTTTTTTTTTTCCCACCGTTTACCTGCCACCATTTTTTCCCCCTGTGACAGCTGATTCACGCATTCTATCTAATGTCTTTAGGTGGATTCATTGGGAGACTAGAGAACATAAGCTTAACTTCCATATGAATCAGATACCCTCCTTAAATTTTGTTTGCCTTGAATGTTTGGATGGGTAGCTTAGGGCTAGACTGGGTACTCAGGCCTTCACTCACCTCCTTTCCAGTGCCAAGATGCTTGAGAAAGTGGGCGTGACTAGCAAGAGAAATGCCAGAACAAGGAACCAGAGAAACCACGTCCATCCTTAGGTCCAGGGACAAGGTTGTATCACAATAGCCATCCATGCCAAGTGAGCTTTTAAACAAAATGTTGTGACATATTTGAGGCCATTACTGTAGCTGTTGCAGCACCTCCTTTATAAGGAGAGGCTCACGCTGACCCCTGACAGCATCTTTCCAAGTTCTTAGAACACAGGACAAGTTATGTGATTTTGGGTAAGGGTGGTAAAACTTGTGAAAAAGTGATGAAACTTTTGGTGTCCACAGTTCAGAAGAGATCTTGGAGAAACTGAGGCAGAATAAAAGCAAGAAATGAAATCATATCCTTGAGAAGCTTTTTATTGCTAATGGGGAAGGGGCTATTGAATAGGAAGATATATTTATTTTTTTCCACTTTAGACTATGCTGATTTATTTCTTTGTATATATATATTTTTTACATCATTCATTTTTTTACAATGTATGCTTTCTCATCTCAGTTATAGTTCCCATGAAATTCCCACCACCAGTTCACCCATGCATCATTGCTATAGTCCCTTGTACTCTTCCCACCCATTTTGATCCTACTCCCTTCTTTCTCCCCACCCCCACACCTTCAAACTGTCTGGTTTATAGTCACCTGTTGATTTTAATTGTCACCTTATTATAATAACTTTTTTTTTCTGATCCCTTATTTGTATCCTCGGCATTCCTCCTATAAGTGAAACCATTTGGTATTTTTCTTTTTCTTTCTGGCTAATTTCACTGAGCATGATCCCTTCCAGTTCCATCCATTTTGCTACGAATGGCATGAGTTTAACTTTTTTCATTGCTGAGTAGTATTCCATTGTGTATATGTACCACATCTTCTTGATCCATTCATCTGTTTTGAGGCATTTGGATTATAGGAAGATATATTTAAATGCACAGCAGAACAGGAGGAAAAAATATATACACACACACATTTATAAGAAAAGAGCTCAAGGCAATAGAAGCTTTAAAAGTATCACACGTTAAATAGAGGTTCCAAAGTCTCTGATCCCAAACAGCTTAGAAGTCAAAAAGAATATTCAAGATAACCTGATCATGCCCCTTTCATTTTGTGATGGGGTTTCTGATTTCTAGAAATTGAAAGAATCACTCAGGATCACACCATGCAAGATGGCTACCCCAACCCTCATCCCTGCCTTCAAGTTGGATGCTGTCTATCCTGAATGTAAATTAAAATGATAATAGTTTCATAACTTCTGGTATGCCTGGGATTTCCTTCTCATCCAGTTTACAAGTGACAGAGAGGAGAGACCACACTTTCGTAGTACTACTTTATTTTTTAAAATGTTTATCTAAATGGCAAGGGAGAGAGAATTAGCACATGTGAAAAACTGGAGAGCAGTGTCTATCAGTGTGTAAAGAAGACTTTGAGTTGAACAGTTCTCCAAACTTCATCAAATACCCAAATTTATGAAAATCACGATGGTATATAATATGTAGAGACAATTTACAGAGATATTTTGTACATGCATATATGTCTGTATATGTGTATGTGAGTAAAATTTCTTACTTGCTAGAGTTATTTTGAACCAATTTAATCAGTCAATTTTACTTATTTTGTGTGGATTATGTGGCATTTTTCACATGCAGATGCAAGCAGATAGTAAACCTAACATACTAGGTAAGGACCATGACTTCAGATTTATTTTCTCTATTTCTACTCCTCTAACAAAAGCAAAATTTGAGGGTTTTGGTGACTTACATTTGAACACCATCTCTCAGATTGTTTTAAAATTTTTTAATTTTGACTCTTGCATGTATCATTACAGATGTGATTGCAAGAAAAAAAGTCATTTGAGATATAAATATTTTAGACACTCAGCTAGATTTACTTCATGAGGAAAATACAAAAATCAGATTCCCATCCCAGCAAAATTTTAACTTACATCATGAGCATCAAAGATTACTTCTGAATATTTAATTATTATGAAGTACTAAAAGGTGTCAGATGTAGATTATAATTATATTACTAAGTAAAGGGAAGAAGAAATGACCATGAGTCAGTCATGGAAGAACTAATTTAATCAGTAGGCTTTAAAGAATGGTAGAAATTAGAGCAGGGATTTTTCCTTTTGTTTTTAAAACATTCGATAATAAATTTATCTTTAAAAAATATATAGGATAAAAATTATATTGAACAAAAATACATTTTTTAATTACTGCTAAATTATATGGGAGAAACTTTTCCCATTGATTTGATCATTAGGAAAATTTATTTCAGCACGGCCTCCCTGGTAGCCCAGAGGTTAAGTCTCAGCACTATCCCTCCCACGACCTGAATTTGATCCCTGGCCAGGGAGCTAACCAGTGTGGTACAACAGACCTCTCCTTTCTTACCCTCTGTTCCCTTAGCAGTGTATTTCAACAGATCTGCCTGTTTGGCTCCCTACTCTGTCTTTAGTGAATACTGTCATCCCCCATATCTCTACCCTACATCCCAGTTCTTCTCTGCAAAAATAAAAAAATAAAATCCTTTTAAAAAAAAGAAAAGAGGGGCCTCCTCTGGTGGCGCAGCGGTTGAGTGCTGGGCTGCGAGGCTGCCTGCAGCCTCTATAGTGCCGGTTCATTCCCCGGCTGCCTGCGAGGGTCCCACAAAAAAAAGGAAAAGAGAAAAGAGGGCCTCCCCTGGTGGTGCAGGCAGTTGAGCGCAATGCTGTGAAGCTGCCCACAGCCTCTGCAGTGTAGGTTCGATCGGGGCCAGCTGGCGAGGGTCCCACATGGCTCAGCAGACTTCTGTTGCACCCGCTGCTCCCCTCAGCAGTGTATTTCGTCAGTCTGCCTGTTCTGTTCCCAGCTCTGTCTCTGGTGAATCCTCTCACCCTCCTGCATATCTGGTCTGTCCCCCGGTTCTTGTATAAATAAATAAATAAATCTTTTTTTAAAAAAAGGAAAAGAAAATGTCTTTTAACAGCTCTCAGAAAAATGTATACTTATCAGTGTACCAATGGAGTCACTAAAAATTAGTTGTAGACAGTGAAAGCTGAGCATAAAGTAGGAAGTCCTTTGTACTTGAGTGGGCAATACCAGAAAATAAGCAAAATTACAGTATGACCTCAACTGATAATGCTTTCTACTGCTGTATTCACCTTGTCATTTCCCCTTTATGATTTTTGATTCTCATCTGTATCATTGCACATGCTACACTTTGGGGACCTAGAAGAAATAAGACTCAGTAAGTCTGTGACTCAAGTAGATTAAGGGATTAACAGGTGATTTTTGAGGTATTTATCAGCAAATCCTGTAGGGTCCAATCCATGGAGACCTCACTCTAGCATTCTGTTAAGGGAGGGAGGAAGCTGAATACTTTAGGGAAAAGAGAAAATAAGATTGGGTTACCAGTATTTATTAGTGTTTAAGTCTTTATTATTAACAAATACCCAAAGATAAACTTTCAGCAGATGAACCAGTTACTCCATTATATTCATTTAACTTTTTAATTGATGTTTTTAAAACTGGATTCATACAGTTCATTTTAAAGAATTTTAAAAATCGAGAGCTATTCTTCATATCAAGGAGTAAGTTCAGTTTACCATTAACTGGAGAATTTCATGACAGCCCGTTGCTGGACTTAAACTTTACCATAAGCAGCTTGAATTTCCTATGTTTCTTGGAAGAGTTAGGGCACAAATAAGCTATTCTGTTATGTGCACTTTTTTAAAATTTTTTATTTATACAAGAAAGGGGTACAGGCCAGATGCGTGGGACGGTGAGAGGATTCACCAGAGACAGAATGGGGAACAAATCTATTATGTGCACTTTTAAAATACTATTTTTTTAAAAATATTTATTTAAGCACTGGGTACAGTCAGAAGCGCGGGAGGGTGAGAGAATTCACCAGAGCCAGAGCGGGGAGCAGAGCAGGCAGAAGGACCGAAGTACACTGCTGAGGGGAGCAGCGGGCGGCAGGAGAGGTCTGCGCACCATGCGGGACCCTTGCCTGGTGGCCAGGGATCGAACCGGTGCTGCAGAGGCTGTGGGCAGCTTCGCAGCCCAGCACTCAACCGCTGCGCCAGCAGGGGAGGCCCTTAAATACTATTTTGCTAAGTCTCAGTTATTCTTAGGGAAGATGCCTATCTCTCTTGGAATGGACTTAAAAGCTATCAGAAGTTTAACACATCATCTAATTCTCAAGAGATAAAGAGGAAACATGGCAGTCTTTGAAATAACATTAAGTCAGTCAAAATGTAGCATTCATTCAGTATCACTTCCCAAAAGTACATTCCCTACTCAGGAGCCAGAGTGGCATTTTAAAAAGAAATCAATTTCTTGTATAGCTCCTCACCAACTTCCTATTATGCTTAAATCTAGACTCTACCATGGTTTAGGTGATTTCATCCCTTGTTGGCTTCTTCTCAGACTGAAGCTCCACTTCTTTCCATATACTTTCCATGAGCTTCAACATATTGACGTTTCTCATTCACTTTTGCCCTTTTGCACTAGGGTATTTGTACTACTTCTTCCATTGTCTGCATTGGTCTTTTTTTCCCTAAGATTTCTTATTTATTCATAGAAGAACTGGGGTGTAGATCAGAGATATGGGTGAGAGGATTCACCAGAGAGAGAGTTGGGGAGCAGAACAGGAATATCTACTGAAATACACTGCTGAGGGGAGCAGCGGTCAAGACAGGCTCAGTCTGCTGTGCCATGTGGGTTAGCTCCCTGGCTGGGGATCAAACACAGGCTGTAGTGGTGAAAGCTATGAAGAGACTTAACCCCTGGGCCATTGGGGAGACCCTGCATTGGTCTACTTCCTGAAACTTTGCATTGAATCTTTTACATGAGGTCCCAGAGAAGCCTTCACTAACCTACTGTGTCAAAAGTGCCCTTTTGCAAACACAGACCTATTTGTATTCCATTATTTGATGGTCTTGTACAGTATTCATAGCAGTTTTCAGTACCATATATTGTATTAACTTCATTTGTTCAGATACCATCCTCAGGAGAATATAAACTCTATGAGGACTATTTACTATAATGTACCCAATGCCTAGGCTTTTGTAAACATTAAATTAATTCATGGTTTGATGTGGCATATTGTAAGCACTTATCAGTTGCTACTGCTGTTACTGTAGTAGTAGTGATAATGTATTTAGGCATTTGTGGAAAATCTGGAATATTGTGTTTTGAATAGATTCAAGATATTTCCTAATTATAAAAATTGAGTACTGTAGAATGCTTATAAATAACAAGGTATTTCTGTTTTTATAGGATTAATAAAGTGAAAGTGAAAATATTTGTACTCTGGAATCCCCCCACACACATTTTTTCACTTAACAGTTTAGATAATTGTGGTCAGATTATCATAGTACAGAACTTGGAATCCTCAAAAGCACAATGCATTTCTTAAAATCATGAACTGCTGAATTTTTCTGTTTAAAGTCTGTTTTTCTGGAGTCAGTCAGGAGTAGATATAGGATTACTTTTTCTTTCCTGATCTAGACCTTACACAAAATCAAGCAACATAATATGCTCACAATGATATTCAGCATTGTCTGCCTTTTTCTGGGTGCTGCCTACTTGAAATAGATGTATATTTACATAGCATCTGTATAACATGAGTTATGTTTGCCTTTTGTCTCTGTTTGCAACCATAGGTAACAGTTAACCTCTTCCAGATGCAGCACCTACAGGCTGCCTCCCTTGCAAATAGTTTACAGTCTCTCTGTGATAATGCCAAGCTCTACGACCCAGGCCAAGAGTACAGTGAATTTGTCAAGGCCACAAATTCAGGCGAAGAAGAAAAAGTTGATGGGTGAGAATTAATATATAGATGACTATTTAAAGAGATAAAACATTCATGGCTAGAGTTCATATCTGACATATGTTAGTATCTTTTATAACATTAGCCTAATTCACTTTAAAATTTTTGAATTTCTTTATATAAGATATAGCTCATTTAAGTGTAAAGCTTTTCATCTTAACAGTGATTAGAAATCTTTTGAGAATGGCAAATCTTAGGCTTATCTATGTCAAATGTACATATAGTTAAACCACATGTTGTACAGAGATTACTATATATTAGAAAAGTTTAACTATGACATGAATTACAGGCTTTGCTTTTGCTGTTCTTTTCTGTTTAAGCCTTATAAATACAAATAATGGGTTTTATTAACATCTCTTTTAAAGAAATTGACCCAGTCAATATAGTTTAATATTTACAGTGCATTCATTAACTTAATAGATTTTTCTGAAAATAGAATAAAATAAACAGATTATTAGTCATTCTTCTCAGTGATTGGTTTGTTTGGTTTTTCTTAGGAATGTAAATAAGCAATTAATGAATAGTCCTCATACATCTGGATATGGACCTACCGACTCTATGGAAGATGTTGTACGCCTTCCCGACAATTCTAATAAGATTGAAGATGACAGATGCTCTAACAGTGCAGATATGACAGGTTGTTCAAATTAAAGAGCATTGATTTATGAAAGCTCAAATTATATAAATTTGGTTGTTAAATGAGTTTCAAATCTGGAAATAAAAATCAGGCTTTGAATTGGAATTTTATGAGACCTTATTCACAGTTGTAAGTGCTATCCCTGTGGATTGTTGACCATTGTTTAAAGAAATTGGACTTGTCTCATTTTATAATCATGTCAGTATTTTGCCTTATGAAATCCATCTCTAGCCAAGTTTGACTTTAAATATTCTTTTCTTAAAGGTCCTTCCTTTATAAGGTCATGGACGTTTGGGATGTTTAGTGACTCTGAGAGCACCGGAGGAAGCAGTGAATCTAGATCTCTGGATTCAGAATCTATAAGTCCAGGTACATTTGTATTTAAGTCTAGGAGTGAGAATTAAGTGGAAAATTAAAATACTCCTTTTGGGGATATTTTTAAACTATTTTTCTAATGAATTGTTGTTTCATAAAGAGGAATGTGAACATACATAGTATAGCATAATGAAAAATAATAAAATAAACCCTTAATATATTTACCATCTATCATCCTGTATCCAGAAGTCTGAGATTGGAAGCAAGTTTTACTTGGTAGTTAATAAAAGAGTTGGCTCTATTAGTCAAAAAATATGTTATCATCCATTTCTAAATTTTTCCAGTAAATGTTCAGACAGTTGTATCTACAATTATCTTTTAGGAGACTTCCATCGAAAACTACCACGAACTCCATCCAGTGGGACTATGTCTTCTGCAGATGATTTAGATGAAAGAGAACCACCGTCTCCTTCAGAAACAGGTATTGCATTTGCTTTTATGAGTTTTCACTACATCAAGTTCAGTCAGTAGCACTGCATGATATTAGGAAAATAGATTAATTTAAAAAATTACAACATATTAAACAAAATACATTTTAATGACTTAAATATATCCTAAGAAATAATGTACCAGTATGGGTTGATTGTGTAATAATCAAATGTTACAAATACAAGTATAAGAAAAAGCAGAACTGCTAGATCTAAAATTATTAGCATGGTGCTAAAATAAATAAGGTTAGATATTTTGATCTTTTTTTCAGTAACCTAATATGTAACTGTAGTATGTGAGACTTTATGAAAAACCCTCTTGTAAAGAAATAGTGGAAAAAGCAAGGCAGGAAAAGTGAATAAGTATAATTCCTGAGAACAAAGACAGTTGTGGGTGTTGAAGGATAGACAAGCCAGTTACCTTAATGACTTGAAATACCTGTTTCAGATACCTGTTTCAGCATGATATCCTAAATATGAATATCTGACCTCTGGTGTAATATTGATACATAACTATCTGTAATTTTATAGTGAATTAATAATAGCTTTATTCTTAATGCAAGAAAAGGTGGACACATGCAGCTGGTTTTCTGTGCAACTTTTATAGGGATCTTTTTTAAAGATTTATTTATTTATGCATATAAGAGCTGGGGTATAGGCCAGAACTGTGGGGAGGTGAGAGGATTCAACAGAGTGGGGAGCTGAACAGGCAGATCTACTGAAATACACTGCTGAGGGGAGCAGCAGGTGTGAGACAGGAGAGGTCTGCTGCGCCATGTGTGTTAGCTCCCTGGCCGGGATCAAAGTTGTGCTGTAGTCGCTGCCCATAGCTTCATAGTTCTGAGAACTAATCCCCTGTGCCACCAGGGAGGTCCTACAGGGACATTTAAAAGAATGTAATGCCACCTTTCCAGCTTAATGAAAGTGTATTAATAAAAAGAGTTACAAATTTGCAGATTCTGGAAACATCATACCATGCTGTTTTAGAATGGGTTGTTTACTGGGTTGGTGTTGACTTTTACTCATAGCTAAAATACTTGATATATTTATGCCTTGCAAATTGGATGCTTATTTTGATGTTTCAGCTTCAATATAATGGCTTTTATAATAGATTAAGGTGTAAAGATTTTTCAAAACACAGTATCATGTAGTATAATTTTTCTGTTATCTTTAACAGTTCTTATATGTTAATCTATTTCTGTTGCAAGGACCCAATTCCCTTGGAACATTTAAGAAAATATTGATGTCAAAGGCAGCTCTCACTCACAAGTTTCGCAAATTGAGATCCCCCACTAAATGTAGAGATTGTGAAGGCATTGTAGTATTTCAAGGTGTTGAATGTGAAGAGGTAAGATCTTTCTGGAATTATATTAGCCTTTTAATGCTTATTGCTTTATACTTTTCTTGTTAGTTTTAGTTGTTAGCGCCCTTTACAAATATATTTTTAATAAATTGAATTACAATGTACCTTTCAAAATTTTATATTTCAGCTTGTTCTTAAATGTATTTCAGGTGCCACAAGTAATACTTTTTAAATTCATTTTTGTTGTGTTACTACTGTTCTACCTGTAGTTTGCCCAGTTGTAAATAAGTTTTAAGTTGAGTTAACCAGTTTTAAACTATCATATTTTGTAGTGTCTTCTTGTCTGTCACCGGAAGTGTTTAGAAAATTTAGTCATCATTTGTGGTCACCAGAAACTTCTGGGGAAAATACACCTATTTGGAGCCGAATTCACACAAGTTGCTAAAAAGGAACCAGATGGCATTCCTTTTATACTCAAAATATGTGCCTCAGAGATTGAAAATCGAGCCTTGTGTCTACAGGTACCTTCCAGTTCTTAAAATTAAGATTTTAAAAAGACTAAAGGAAAACAGTGTTCTCATTTCTTAATAAGTAACTGAATTTATTTAGGTTCATCAGGAAAACAATTACCTCATTTGGCACCTAGTGTTAGAGGGAAAAGGATGTCCTAAAGCCAATTCCATACAGGCTTTGTGGACTCTACCCCCAGCCCAGGCCAAAGCCAAAGACACTGGGAACTCCAAATCCCATCACCACCAAAGGGAAGGTGGCTGGGACCTGAGGGTGGGGTTAAGCAGCCAGGTTGGTATAAAGCCAGATACTTGGGCTTTGGAGGGGTTCCCCCATTTTGGCTCTCCGCCAGCTCGCAGGGTCCCGCCAGCCCTGAGAGTGCCTTTGGGTTTCCAGGTCGGCGAATCGGGTAGGATGCATTAAAGACTTTATTTCCCTATTTTCTCCCTGAGTTGTACATTTTCCTTATTTCCTTTTCCCTTGTAAATAAACCTTTTATTAACCTTTTGTGTATGCCTGTAGTGGAGTATTAATAGGTCCCTTTTAAGCGCACAGGTGAGGACCCACAGCCAGGCAACCCACTCAATATCAGGGCTGCCCTATAGCAGCTGGCGCCCAACGTGGTTTAGGACATCCTTTTCCCCCTAACACTAGTGCTTTTCTAAAATACTTATAAAAATGGAAGGAGACATTTCAAATATATTCACATATCTGCATTTTATCCTTTTGTAATAAAGCAGAATTTTACAAATTTTCCCCCTTTCTTCTCAAAGGGAATTTATCGTGTATGTGGAAACAAAATAAAAACTGATAAACTGTGTCAAGCTTTGGAAAATGGAATGCATTTGGTAGACATTTCAGAATTTAGTTCACATGACATCTGTGACGTCTTGAAGTTATACCTTCGACAGGTAAAGATTTTACCCTTGAAACCTACCATTAAGTAGAAAAGAACCAAAATATGTTTTTGCTGATAACATTTCCTTTGTATTCATTTTCATTAACACGACCATATTGTTGTTTTTCTAAGTATTGATGTGCCAATTAGGGGGTATATAAAATTTATGAAGAGTTTACAAATCAGTAATAATAACACAAACACTCTTTTTCCATCACCTAACTTAAGGAAATAGAACATTACTATACCTAATAGAAGAACTTGTGTGCCTCTCCCTAGTTGCAGTCCTCAACCCCACCCGAATGGTATTTTCCTTACCTTCTTAATTCTGTTTTCTTGCTAGTTTTAATACATACTGTGTATTCCTAACCATTGTATCAGGTTTTGGAAAACTGATCAAGAAGTTTAAATCTAGCTGTGTAAGGAAAGGCCGTCATTCACACTGTTAAGTAAAGGATTCAGTAAGTAGATCAGTGTCTGAGTCAGAGTCTCGCTTTACCTTCATTGATATTTTTAAAAAAGCTGTTGAAGGAAGTCACTGGGTAAGGTTATGCATGGATTCTGGAGCATTAGGCAGTACTATCCTATATAGCTGGGACCTGGAAGTTCAGAAGAAATAAGATGGTCAGGGAGTCACCTGCTCCATACTTTCTGTGCCTCACTGTTGTGCCTGTAGTTAAGATTAGTGGTGTAGATTCAAAGAAAACACTTCTGTGGGTGAAATCAGTAACTATCATGGCTTAGGCAACAGCTCATGAAGGGATTGTAGGAACAAATCAGTACGTTGTCATGATGAGCCAAGTTTAAAAAAAAATGTTTGGGCCATGTTCAGCTGCTTTCTGTGCTCAGGTGAAATAGAAGAGACAATTACATTTACAGAGGACATAGTAACAGTCCTTGACATGTCCCTCCCTGGAGTTCTATTGCTCCATCTGCATCTTTTTTAATGTGAATAGCTGTCATCCTGGGATTTCTCCTCCTCTTTTGTGAGGCAAACGTGAGGCCTTCCTGTTTTTGATTTCTCTGTTTTTGTATACCTGTCCTTGAGTGAGATGGAATAAGAGTAAATATTTGAAAGCATATTTATCTGTAAATGTCTTTATTCCACTTTCTTGACTGGAAATGAAAGACTGTGGATAGTTTGAAAGGTTGTAGTATTCTAGGCTGGAAATTATTTTTTCCAGAATTTTGAAGGCATTTTTTATTGTTCTCTTTGAAGCCTGAAATCCTTCTCATTCCTACTTTGTGTATCACCTTTTGTTTTTGCCCCTCCAACAGCTTGTATAGTCTTCTTTTTCTCCCTACTATCCTTGATAATGCCTTGATGTGTGGATTATTTTCAGCCACCATTTTGGGCGTTCCATAATCGCTATCATTCTAGTTACTTGTTCTTTAGTTCTTGGAACTTTTATTTTGTAATTCATGTCCTCTCCTTTCTTTCTGGAACTTCTATTTAAATGCTTGACAGCTTGTACTGGTTCTTTATTGGTTTGTTTTTTATTTTTTTCAATTTTTGTTTTAATACTTTGTAAGAGGTTTCTTCAGCTTTATCTTTCACTCCTACTGGAAACTATTTCATTTTTGATGTATTGCTTTAATTTCTAAGAACTCTTGTTCTCTGCTTCTTTTACAGCATTCATTCTGTTCTAATATAATCAACTTTCATTTCATCTGAGGAATACTGTGAGATCAGAACTTCAGGGTGGAAGCCACACTCAAATCTTAGGATATTAGAGAGTAGCTTTCATTTAACTCACATGCCATTTGGGAAATTTGAAGTTCCAAGCAGGTTAAGTGACCACCTTCAGATCCTAGAGCAGTGGGAGGTAGAAATTGATACCAAGGCTTCCCTTCTTTGGGACCAGCAGGGGAAAGCGGAGAAGCTGGTGCTGCCTCACCACAGATAGTCTAGGACATAAGCTAACCAAAGGCATCACTGAACAAGTGGAAATGTTGAACTCAGTTATGGCAGTACACAGATCAAGGTGGCATACCCTTTGACCTACTTATGGCAATCCAGGTTGTATTTAAAATTTAGATAAATAAAATATAGATAGTTTCTTTATTTTGAACCTTATTTTCTTAGCCTAATCTTTATTCTGACCCAAGTAAAACACAAAGACTCTATAGCATTTTACTGCCTCCCCTATACCAATAAAAGTCAGAATATAAGCTTTTCCTAATTAATTTGGTTTATTTTGTTCATTATCCTGGGTTTATTTCAGTAAAAGAGTTGAAGATGTACTAACTTTGGAGCAGTTAAGAATGTAATAGGTATAGGAAAGATCCAAGTTATTAAATCTCATCAGTGCACCTTCAGATTTAGAGTTAACTCCTGTTTAACACATTTAACTTTTAGCAGTGATGTCAGATTATATCCGTAGCAAACAAATGGACATTTCTAAATGTGGATTGATCTTACACTGTGTTACTCTAAGGAGACATGCTAAACCATTAAGCACCATTTCAAGTGATTATTAGCAGGAGGAAAAATGAACAGAATGACATTCCTAATGTAATTTTATTTCTTTAGCTCCCAGAACCATTTATTTTATTCCGATTGTACAAAGAATTTATAGACCTTGCAAAAGAGATCCAACGTATAAATGAAGAACAAGAGACAAAAAAGGATCATCCTGAGGACAAAAAGTGTTCAAGCATATGTATAGAAATAAACCGAATTCTTCTGAAAAGCAAAGATCTTCTAAGACAATTGCCAGCATCAAATTTGAACAGCCTTCATTACCTCATAGTACATCTTAAGCGGTAAGAACTTCATTTAGTAGGTGGATAATTGCTGAGGGTTTCATTTGTTTTGTTTTGTTTTATTAGAAATATGGTAAAATACACATAATATAAAGTGTACCATTGAATATATACTCATGCAGACGTTCCCTCACATGCCTCTTATGGACCAGATTCTGACTGGGAAAACAGGATGAAAGTGACTGTCAGCTGTTGTGCTTGTCAACTTGGGGGGCAGACCTGTAGACAAGTGCAATGCTGCATCATTCTTGTTCTACCAGCAATGTGCACAGTATGCAGAAGATGGGGAGAGGGAGATTGGGGAATAAGGAATAGGGAAGGTAGTCTTGAGCCAAACTTGAAGAACTGAGTAGTGGTTTGATGACAAAGAATGTGCAGAAGGCAGAGGGTGATAGACACAGAGATATAAAAGATCATTTTGCATTTGGGAAATAATTTGGTTAGACTAGCATATAGCAAGCAGTAGCAGGAACTGAGCTAGTTCAGGTCTCATAACGCCTTACTACTTGGTAGATGAGTTCACTGTCATTCTTCTGTGCTCACTAAAGAATTTTGAGCCAGGAATTTAACTTGCTTAGATTTTCCTTTTAGATCTTTCTGGCTGCAGATTATAGGGAAGGTCTTTACTACAATTCAGGTCTCTTTGAATAGTCGTAGAAATAAAAGGGATGAAACTTGAAGTGGGGCCAGAGCAGAGCGAGTGGCAATAGAAAAGAGATCTTTAGGAGGAAGAATCAAATAGGCTTGAAGACTGGCTGTGGATAGCGAGAGAGAAATTGACAATGATGTTTAAGTTTCCAGCATAAAAACCTGCAAGAATATACTGTCTACTAAGCATAGATCAGTTTTTATGGATCTTTTAAAATTTCTGCTGGTAAAACTGTGGTAGTTTCTTCTACTTAAATTTTATCCTGATGCTATGAAATTCCATTTGGTGTCATCAATATTTAATCAAGTAAATATATCCTTTTCCTAGATTTCTGCAGAAGTCCTCCACCCTTCCCACACCGTAGTAAAAGAAATTTAATAGCACATCTCATACAGCTTTGTGTTTTCTAATTCTCAGGGTTGTAGATCATGCAGAAGAAAATAAAATGAACTCCAAAAATTTGGGGGTAATATTTGGACCAAGTCTCATTAGGCCACGGCCCACAGCTGCTCCTGTCACCATCTCCTCTCTTGCTGAATATTCAAATCAAGCACGACTGGTCGAGTTCCTAATTACCTACTCACAGAAGATCTTTGATGGGTCCCTACAGCCCCAGGATGTGGTCGTGTGCAGTACAGCTGGTGGTGCACTTCCCATTGAGCAAGGTTGTCTTCCAAAGCCTCTGTTATCCCCAGAAGAGAGAGACCCAGAGCATTCCATGAAGTCACTGTTTTTCTCTTCAAAGGAAGTAAGTTTTGACCTTTGTGGAATTGTTCTGGAACCTTGTAGTTGTATTGAACCTTGTAGTTTAGATAATAATTGAAAATCTCTGAACCGTTTATCTTGAGGTATGTTTTGCCTCTTCAAATTTAAAATTTCTCTTCCTTAACAGGAGATCCATACTGCAGACAGTGAAAGCAAAATTTTTGAACCAGCTACATCATTTGAGGAATCAGAACGCAAGCAGAATACATCAGAAAAATGTGATGCATGTCTCATTGGTAAGTGGCCATGTAAAACACCTTTGGTGACTTAAAACTGTTCCAATAAACACTGATTAAAAGTCAAGTTGAGAAGTTAAGTCAGAAAAGGAAGCTTCAGTAATGATGTACATCTGAAGCTTATATAATGTCCTAGTGCAATATTATTGTAATGAAATTTTTAAAGCAAATTTTAAAGCTTTATTAGTAAATGGACTTTTGCTAGTGAATGAAAAAATTGGCCTTTTAATATACCTTGCATTTAAATGAATGCTATTTTTCAAAATGATCATTCTTATCAAAAGATATCTTGGAGTTCATAGGTGTGTTTTGTGTTCTTGCTGAAATTTGTTTTCCTATTTGTCATCAAAGGCAAGGCAAAAACATGTTGAGTAGTATGATAGATCATTTATTAGTATCTTTTGTTACTGTAGATCATTGAGTTCCTCTAACTCTTCATAAGGAGTCAACTAGGCTCCTAAAATTCAAAAAATTTAGACCCCTAAAATTCCTAAAACTTTTTTCAAATGCTTTTATCTGTCACATGCCTTTAACGTATTAAGCATATTTGTGTATATGCCATTATTTTCTTGACTGCAATCATTTATTCCTTCACTGAATGATAATTTTCATTGGCAGTGATTGATAGCAATCAAGCTGGTAGAAAAGCTTCCATTTGTTACTGTAATTCTATAATTACTAGAACTAATATTTTAAGTTTTAAAAATGCAGCCATACATGTTCAATGTAATGTATAATTAAACTGATAAGTGATCTAGCCTAACAGGGTTTAATAAAGCAGTGGATCGAAAATATTGAGTACTACCTGCTGTATACTAAGCTATGTGCTTATTGTTTGATTCCATTTGCTATACAATAGGTAGTGTTAGCCCATTCTATCCATAGACTAACAATTGGAGAGAGGTTAAATGATGCCTCTAATAAATGGGATCTGAACCTGTTTTCAAATGTGCACTTCGCTAACCCATGAACTAGGGCTCCAATTTGAAAATAGTAATAACAATAAATACTGTTTCAGAGTGCTTATTATACACCAGTTATTTTAGCATTGTCATGATTAGATCATTTAGGCCACACGTCAACACAGATACAATTATTTTTGGACAGATGTAGACACTTAGTGAGATTGCCTTGCCCATTGTAAAAGTCACCAGCCTGTGCTAAACCCAGCAACTGGCATCACAGTCTGTACTCTGGTCCATTATGCTCTAAGCCTACCCTCACAACCTAAGAATATTCTTCAGTGGGTACTTACAGCCCAGCCACAATGAGTCAGATCCTTAGAATGGTCTATAACTGGGGGGAAGGACATGGAAAGCCAAAATGAGACAGTTGCCTTGAAAGTTCCGGGCAGAGCAGACAGCAGACTCTGGAAGGAAGGTGAGCGGAAAAGAGGATGACAGGTGACTCTGATGGGCTTCTGTCTACACACCGCAGCCCAAAAGACTGAACGGAGGGGCTGGAGTTTTCCAGAAATGGGAGACTTTTAGAGCAAATGCTGCAAAAAATGGACAGGACTTAAAGGGGCTGAAAGTTCTAGTTTGAGAAAACATGACTATGGGGCCAGACTGTTAAGAGGAGAAAGTAAGTCTGGGAGGAAAGAGTAAATGGAGAGAATGGCATGTTTTACTTAAGATAAAGTCGTTCATCCTAATTTGACAAGATGAATGTTATAGTCCATTTATTAGTTGATCAGAATTCAGGGCATCTAAGCATCTCATACGATGTACTCTTACTGTGGGTTCTTTATAACTGAAAAGCGAGTGAATTAGCAGCCTTGGCACATCTGCATTTGGTTGGTGTGTGAATTAGCTTAACTTTCCTGAGGTTAATTGACTAATGTCTGCCAATTGAAATTTTGATGACCAGCAAATCCCTGTTCATGTGTGGTGCATAAAAGTTACTTCATCGGGTGTTTTTTTGTTTTTACTCACCTGTGTTGGATTTTATAACCATGTATCGTAAATACTTAATAAATGACTTAAAGATAGAATTTTGACATTTTTATTCAGAGTGCACCTTTAATACTGTATATAACTCCTCTGCAGAGATAATTGAGAATAACCTGGAAAAAATAAGTAAGGCCCCTGTTTTTCTGAGTGATGTTCATCTATAGCTCACTTAGACTCTTGTTACCTACTTGCCATGAAGTTTGCTTTTTAAATAAACCTTTACCTTTTGCAGACCACAAAGTGCGTCTGCTTGCAGACCAGGAGCTTGAATCAGTACCAAACAAGCAGGAAATTGTTTGTAAAACGTCCAAGGCGCTTGCTCTGAAGTCTGATAGGGAAACAAACAGTGTGGGGAGGCCGCCTCCAAGGATCAAGATCAGACCTGTGAGCTTACCCGTAGACAGACTGCTACTTCTTGCAAGCCCTCCTATTGAGAGAAATGGAAGAAATATGGGAAATGTAAACTTGGACAAGTATTGCAAGAATCCTGCCTTCGAAGGAGTTAATAGGAAAGATGCCCCTAGTATTGTTTGTTCCAAATTTGATGACTTTGACCTGCAAACTCTCCAAAAAACTCAGGAGAAAGAATATGAACAGGATGACTTGGCTGCAAAAACTGCAGTGATTGTGCCCAATGTCCTCCAGGAAAGAGGGGTGACAAGCATCAGGATCAGCGGGGACCACCCAGTCAGTGCCACCCAGCCCAGTAAGCCATACCCGGAACCAGTCAGATCAGCAAGACAAATGTCAGAGAAACGGTCCTCTGACTTGTGCCCTCTGACTTCTGTCAGAGCACCCAGAACTCTGCAGCCCCAGCACTGGACAACCTTTTATAAACCTCGAGCTCCCACTGGCAGCCCAAGAGGCAGTGAAGAGAAACCTGCAGCATCCTCTGCAGCCTCTCCTCATGGCACAGCTCACCTTCCCCAGGCACACGTGCTGCAACCAACTCCAGACTCGGAAAACATATCCACTTGTCCTCTGCAGCCGACGAGTAAGCCAAGAGAAAACTCTGAGGAGCACGGCTTGCCTGATGTGCCTCCAACCTGTCAGAGACCAAGGCTAAAACGCATGCAACAGTTTGAAGACCTTGAAGATGAAATTCCACAGTTTGTGTAGGATTATCAGAATCTAGCTTTTCATTTTGTTGTTGTTTTGTGTTCTTGTGTTTGCTTTGTGAAAGAACATTTTGACGGGGCCCCTTATATATAGGATTGCCAAATCATGCTGTTGTACTGTGTTATCCTGTGTTGGTTTTATTGAATGGTAGAATGTTTTGATAGGGCCATATTTGTGCCTCACTGGAATTAAACTTAAATCTGTGTTTTTGAAGTTGTGAATAAATAGGTGGACTCACTTTTTTAAAAGTTCAGTGGATTTTCCCCATACAATAATTCATTTAAATGTATCCCTAATATATGATGTAGTTTTCAACTAATAGGTGCAATTGGGAAAACTCAGATTTATTTTTTTGAAGTGAAACTAAGTGCTTATTTATAAAAGAAATGTTTCTGAATGCAAGTGCCTGAAAGATCTTTCCTATGATCGTTTTATTCCCCACACAATTTTATAGTGCATCTTTGGCCATATTTGCTTTTATTGTATGTATGTAATCTTTTACTTTTTCAGTTGACAATTCATTTAGTTTTTAATATCTACCTAATGCCCAAAAGTCTTGCAAATCTGTATTTAATTGCATCTTAGTTGCCAGTTTTTACATGAGAGTAAATTATACAAAGAAAATGCACTTAAACCTGTTTCTAAATTATATAGTTCAGTTATGTCTTATTTGACTTTTGATGGTTTTAATACATTTAATAGTTGTTCAGCAATTCTGAACCTTTTGATATTTTATATAATGGTCCCCAAAAAAGTTTTTAAATTCAGTGCATTTCCTCTTGTTTTTGTCTGGGTTGTTTTTGTTTGTTTGTTTTTTTTAAAAAAAAACTATTCCTTTTGTATGAAAAGTTTTCACTTATGAATATAATTTTATATACTTTTCCTACCAAGACTTTTAACTATTGACAATGTATGTTTCATTTGAATCATGCGAAGATTTATTTAAGTTGGTTATTAGAGTATAGTTAAGTAAGCCTCATTGTTTGGAATTTGAGAGGTGTAGATAGATGTTCAGATTGATATCATTTATAAAACTCCCAGTTTGTAGAACTAATGAAGTTCTTTTATTTTCTGGGTTTGGTCATTTTGCCTAAAATAGGATATAAAAAGGGACAAAAAAATAAAATAGCCTCTTTTTGTAAGTGTGAATTCTATTTGTAGTAAATGCTTTTGTATGGCCATGTTATAATTGATTTTAAAATATACATAGATATGTATATACGCAGACCCCCCACACACGCATACATATACATATATACATACATACATATACATACACACACATACACACACACACACACACACACATATATATACCTGTTGAATGTTTTCAGCTCCTCATAGCATCTCCGAAATTGTTTGATCTTTAGTTATGACCACTATGGATTAGTGGTTAACACTTAGGCTGATACATGCCTTGACTATAATATGAATGTACTTTATAGGAAGCTTTATATATATATAGTTCCACATGGCATTAAGGACTAGGGAGAAATAAATAACCTACCCTTTTGTGCTAGAGCCTTGTTTGTGATGCTCATTGTACAAAATATAAAGGACTGGTATTGTTAAAAAACCTAAAAAGAAAATAAGAGCCAGCATTTTTTGTGTGCCATGAACTCTGCTAAGTTCCTACATAAATAATTTGGTTTCACATTCACAGCAGCCTTTGATGGTTAGGTATTTCATTATTCCTTTTGTTACAGGTAAGGAAACTAAGGGTTAGTTATATGTTCTAGATATAACAGTTGGAGTTAAATCGCAAATACAGGACTGTAAGATTCTGATTGTTAGTGCTCTTTATGACTAATTACAACGTGGTAGCAGATGGTGTTTAGCAAAACAAAATGCACTTAAAAAATTTTTATTATAGTAAAATATTCATAACATGAAATTTACCATTTTCACAAATTAGAAAGCATGCTTTTAGATTCCTTTTAGTTTTCTTTTAATGTATGAGACAAGCCAAAGACAGTATTGTATCAACTAGCTTCTCTATTTCCCTCACTGTTAAGCCTCACAAATGAGACTTTTACTTTGATTCCTGTCTACCTTTAGGACCATCTTGTCCAGATTAAACCCTCAGTTTTAGGATGCTTTCTAGTTCCTTGGGGGCATAAATTAGCAAATATCTCCTAAGAAGATGTCGCTGTTTTTAGAGTACCCGCACTAGCCCTGTGCCCTGCTGTGCAGGAGTGTGGCAGTCACTCATCGGGAAGTTGTTTTATGACACGTGGAAAGAATTTGAGCCAAGGGAAAGGACAATAGTGGGGAATCCTTTTAGAGCTGCCAGACCACCAGGAAGCTTTTTTTGGAAAGCATATTGTTCAAGTTTCTGAGAAGTCATTTGTGAGGGGTTGGTCATGACATCCCTAGATAGATTTGTTTAAAATGCTTAATTAGAATTTATGAGAACTTAATTAGAATTTATGAGTCCTTAAAATTACTTTGCATGCACCTTAGGCATTGTGTTTCTTTTGATACAGAGATGAAGAAGATAGGTCCCTCTGAGGGACTTGTTGCCTAGAGAGCTCAGAAGCAAATAGAACCATACCTCTCTTGGTGGTTTAAAAATGGTACTGTGACTACACTATTCCAGGTAACACTGTATTTGTACCACTATAAAAATTCTTTTAAGTGGCAACCATTGCATATTTTTAAGACAAGCTATAGTCAGTATAATTCTTTGGGTTTCTCTTTCTTAAAGACAGAAGATTACCTTAATGTATGGATATGAGTGTATATGTAGACAATTCAGTAACACCCAATGAGTTTATGTGCTGCATTCTTATGCAAAGTTATGTGCTGAAAAGTTGTAGCATTCATAATCAGTACGAAAAAATGGTTGTATTCTGGTGTATTAGCAACTAATAGAAAATGAAAGTTTTTAGAAAGATCTCTTAAATAAAAGCTTAAAAAATTCAAAGTACCTATGACTAAATATAACAAGATCTTCATGGAGTAAATTTTAGACTATATCGAGAGCCACTCATTCTAAATGGAGTGTTCTATGATATACATGGATTGGAAACTTCAAATATACAGATGTTCTTTGATCTTGTATTTTATAGATTCAATATAATCCATCAAATGTAATTTGGAGCCATTTCAAATTAAGTTATAGACATGATGCCCCATTACTCCTAAATACTTTAGTGATATTTTCTTAACCCTTGAACACTCCTACGTAATCATAGTATGACCATCAAAACCAGGAGATTAACATATGTTTAATCAACAGGCCACTTTCAAATCTTGCACATTGCCCTGATGATGTTCCTCTCTGCTCTGTTGTCTAAGTGCAGGATTATGTGGATTTAGTTATCTTGTCTTTCACCTCTTTCAATCTGCAATAGTTTTTCAGGTCTTTTTTTTTTTTTCCATGACCATGAAACTTGAGATGTATAGGGTTTATCTAATAATTCCCATGACTAAATTCAGGTTATACATTTTTTGTCAGAAATATTGCTGTATTCTTATTAGAGGAGATGCAAAATATCAAATTGCCCCATTCATGGGGAAACTAACTTTTGATTAGGATAGTACCCGTCAGGTTTCTCCTTTGTAAGGTTAATTAAAAAAAACCTGTGAGATTTTTTGGGGACTATGTAAATGCCATGTTCCTCATCAAATTGTCACCAGTTTTGAGTCCATTAACAATTCTTTCCTGGATCGGTTATCACTATTCTGGTTGCCAAATGGGTGAGTCCATCTTTGCTTAAGCTTTGATAATTCTGCATAAGGAAGAGCAGTCCCTTCTCCATTTGTTCATTTGTATCAGTATGGACTTTCGAATTCATACATTAATCAGTGAGTTAGAATATATCACTGTCATTTACTTAGATACTGAACTTTTCCCAGATTGAGTCTGCGGAAGTCCCTTCAAGCTTACCTCTACTTTTGGCTTTTTGGCCCATGTTTTCTTGCCACATCATGTTGTTCCAAGCTTATGCTTTTCCCCACCCTAGCCCTTTTCCAAAGAACCCTGATTCCTTTAAATGGAAAATAGTATATTGGAGACCAAGAACTGGAAAGTGCTCATTGCTGCTGGAATGTCATTGCTTGTAAACCCTGTTGGTGCACAGATAAACAAATACCAGTGTGTATATACACATAGACATGGTCTGTCTGTTTATCTACACATATACATTGAAACCCTTGAGTTCATCCCGATACTTATAGTTCTAACTCAGTATTTCAGGGTTAGTCCTGTCCATATTTGTAATTCCTTTTCCTCATAGAAATCTGGCTCATAAAATCCTAAATATGTTACTTGCTCACTTTATTTTCCAACCTCCTGATAATGCCAGCTGTTGCAATGGCCCACCTAGCCCCAAATATACCAGATACTCAGCCATTCTTGACCTGGTCCTGACCACACATCCCTAACAGGCCAGTCAAATCATAGCCTGTGTTGAGGACCAGGCCAAATGATTTCTTGGCCCCAGTGATACCAATCCTGACCTCACCATTTAAATCCTGGGTCCTGGTCATCTAGTTGAATCCTCAGCCCCAAGTAGAAGGGAGGAAAGGGACAAATTCATGATCTTTTGAAAGTCAGTGACTATTAAATATATGTCTAATGAGTTTCCTAAGAAAAGCTTTTAAATGGTTATAAATGTTTAAACAAATGGACACAAATTTTTTTAAAGATTTTATTTATACAAGAACTGGGGTAGAGGTCAAATGCTTTAAATTATTATGCTATCTTAAATCTAATATTTGCAAATAATTTTTGAATATTAAGACTTCCTGTAGTAACTAAACATTATATTATGCTTCCTCTTTATGTCTTTACAATCAACAAGTTTAATTGTTCTCTATAAAATTAGCATACACATAAGAAATTAGAGTAAAGAGGACAAATTGTCCATGTTTCTGACTTACAAGTCCTATTTGGGTTTATTGTTGACTTTAAGTGAATAAATAAGAGCCATATATCACATGAAAACCTACCTCAAGTTTATGGAGATGGTTCTACCAACTCATTACAGGATATGAGAACTCTTCCTTGTAGCATTTCAAGAACTGGAAAGAACAGCTGATGCAACTGTGAATAGACCAGTGAACTTTTAATTGCCTAGAGGATGCTGATAAATACGAATGCAGCCCTGAAGTTTGAAATCAGGTCATAGACAGTGTGTGGTAAGATCTTATTTACAATTGTAGACTCAGCCTGACATGTATTAGTTGCTGTTACCTGTATCTTACTCATTTTACATCAGAAACTCATTTTTTGAGATTTACTTCCAACAAAATCAAAATGCTTCTGTATCCAACTATCTTCTTTAAAGTTGTGATAATTCATCTAGTCAGTTGCCATAGAACCTGTTGTGGTTCAAGACAGGAGAAGGTATAGAATCAGTGAATTCTCCATCTACAAATGCAGATACATAATGACAGCTTTAAATGATTTTTTTAATTGGATCATAAATGCAGGGGTGTGTAAATGTATATGTATCATTGAGAGAATGAACTATTTGGGGTATTTTTTTAAGATTTATTTATTTATACAAGAACCAGGATACAGGCCAGAGGTGCAGGAGAGTGAGAGGATTCACCAGAGACAGAACAGGCAACAGAACAGGTAGACTGACAAAATACACTGCTGAGGGGAGCAGCAGGCAAGACAGGAGAGGTCTGCTGCGCCACGTGGGTTTTTCCCTGGCCGTCTGGGATTGAACCTGTACTGCAGAGGCTGCGGACAGCTTCACAGTGTGGTGCTCAACTGCCTGCGCCACCAGGGAGGCCCGAGAATGAACTATTTGCCCTCAATCCCCTGTTAAGGCGTCACCCATCTCCCCTTCCTGCACACATACCTGTCTCCTGCTATCTTTAATTTTATGTTAATTATTCCCTGGCTATTTAAAAGATTTGCTATCTTGTGTATTATTTCATTTGACCTGTTCTTTGGTTTTTTTGTTTTGTTTTAAATTTTTGCAAATAGAACCACTGATTATTTTGTGGCTTCCTACATTTAGTATGTTTTTGAGTAAGCCATATAGATGTTTGTAGCTACAAATACTTTTTCCTTTTTTTAAACTATATTCTTTTATGTTTATAAACTATAAAAATTTGTAAATATTTTTATCACTATTCATGGAATTTTAGGTTGCTTTCAGGTTTTTTGGTCACTGAACAATGCTGCATGGTAAACTGTCTTAAAATGATTAGGTTTTGTGATTAGGTTCATTTTTTTTTTTTTATGAAAAGAGGAACATAAGTGGTTATTTTTGTTTTTTATTTTTTAGATATAGTGCCTTTTTCTTATTCACCTCATTTACTATTTACCAAGGGAGATATTCTTCCCTGCCTTTTCTTGATGAGCAAGTAAAGTTCAAAAGGGCTAAAAACTGACTTGAGTTACAGTTACTGAGAAAGGGTGATAGGACTTGAACTCAGTTGTCTTTACTATAAATTCTGTTTTATTTCTAAATCATTCCCCATTTTCTAAGCCAGAAACTTAAAAATTATATACTTTTAGGCTATATATATTTTTTCTAGTTGCTAGGGTAAGTTTAGAGCTATATATCACAGCTCCAAATTCATTTATAGTATGTATAAGTTTAGATAAAATCTTTGCATGTAAAGGGCCTCCCCCCGTGGCACAGCGGTTGACCGCTGGGCTGCAAAGCTGGCCGCAGCCTCTGCAGCGCCGGTTCATTCCCGGCTGCTGGGTGAGGGTCCCACATGGCCCGCAGACCTCTCCTGCTGCCCGCTGCTCCCCTCAGCAGTGTACTTCGTCACTCTGCCTGCTCTGCTCTCCCCTCCATTCTGGCTCTGATGAATTCTCTCACCCTCCCATGCTTCTGACTGTACCCAGTGCTTGTATAAATAAATAAATAAAATCTTTTAAAAAAAAATCTTTGCACGTAAAAATTAACCAAAGTTTTTCTGGGTCGCAGTCCGTTTCATAGGTTAAACTTTGCTAATAGTAACAGGACAACAGAGCAGGTAACAGAATAAACAAGCCTATTCCTCCACACACTGTCCCAGAGTAGTTTAGAAAGCTGTGCAAAATGGAAAGCTACGAAGATGATAAGCATAAAAAGAACAGGATTTGGATGAGATCTCATAGGTTCTGCTGGTAACCCAGGAAAGCAATCCAGGTAAGAAATAGGCTGTAAATCAAGTCACTGTCTATGGGGACGATGACCTAAATTCTGGTTTAGTTTTAGGAATTGGTGACCCATCATGAATGTAGAGTTAGTGAAGCTTGAGGGTGGAGTTCTGTACGCTAGAGTAAAGGATACTTAAATGAACTAGGGACATAACAAATCTCTTCAGATATCAGAAGTGAAAACAGGATTCTGGTTAAACATCTCACTTGCTCCTTTAGGCAGAATGAGGTCGCATGACTGAAAGTTCAGCAGAGGCAGATTTTGTTCAGAACTCTATAGAGGCATTTATGACCAGAACTTTTTTTTTTTTTTTTTTTTTTCTGCATCTACCCTGCTCTTGAATGTGTTAAAGTCTCAAGAGATACATTACAATGGGATATTTACCTCCTTTTGGTTAACACTCTGCTTTTACTGATGCAGGCTGAATGCCATTAACTTTTCTGACAGTCTTGCCACACTTAACAGGATTGCTGAATCAGAATTTTGGGGTTGAATGGAACCTCAAAGGTATGACCAGAACTTTTAACATGGATGTATTATCTCATGATTTGGCGAATTCCCCAAACTAGGAAAGTGTTCAAGGAAAAAACTAATGACCTAAAAGGATTGTTATTAGAGAGGAAATTGGCCAGATCATTTGTAAAGACCAACCTATGATCATGATTCAGTGACCTTGAATTTAAATTTGAAGGATATATGTCTGAGTGCCACAAATCTTAAAATCACCTTTAAGCGATATTTTCACTATGCCACAGCAAAGAAACATTTAAACTTCATACCTAGACAACCCCTTCAAAGTGCTGGAGGTGGGGAGGGGGGATGTCAACCCCAAATTCTATGTAGAGTAAAAATATCCTTCAGAAGTGAAAGTGAAATAAAGACTTCTTTGACAAACCCACATTAATCAAAATTCTATAGAGAAGTTTTTAGATTATAGAGAAATAATTCCAGATGGAAATACAGAAATGCAGGGAAGATTCAAGACCTCTAGAAAGTGCTGACTGTAGTAAAATACTAGTGATATGGAGTATGAAGATTATGCAGTTAAAATACATGACAATGATGGACAAGGCAAAACAATGGAAATATTATAAGATTCTAGCATTATCAAGGAAGTGGTAAATGGTAATTTAATCAAGGTATCTGTCATATCAAAAAGAACAAGTTAAAAAGAGTAGGTAAAATATTGTGTTATCCAAAAGAAGACAAGGAAAAATGCTAAAGTGAACAGTGGGTCAGATAGAGGTTAAATAGCAGGAATATAGATGCTAAGACAATTGGCATAGACAATTCATATTTCATTCAAACCCATAAAACTGCCAACATCTGAAAATAAGGGCATAAAAATAAGTACAATACAGTTTATAGCTTTTTCATAATTATATGAATCATTTAGTACTGGGTTAGATGTAAGTATATATAATATATGAGTCAATATCTTCACATGTGAACAGGGCACAAATTACCCAGTACAGTGATCAGATTTATTTAAGCTTGTTTTTGAATAAGTCACAGTATTTGGAGTATGATTCACGAACATGTGATTTAGATCAGAGGTCAGCAAACCATGACCCCCAAGACCAAACCTGGCCAGCCATCTGTTTTCATAAATAAAATATTGTTGGAAACCAGTCATGCCCTTTTATTTACATGTGGCTTATAGCTGCTTCCCGCTACAACATCTGAGTTGAGTAGTTAGTACAGAAATCCTGTGACCTACAAAGTCTAAAATATTTACTAGCTTTTCCTTTAAAAAAAAAAGTTTGCTGACCCCTGAATTTGATGAATAAGTCAGTGTGAGCTAAATATTTCATTTGCTATTTTGATAAGTGTCTTTTTTTATAGTCAGTACCTCTTCTGGGTTTTGAATGATGTGTCTAAAATATTATATAAGATAGGCCAAAATAGCCTTAATTTCCATATTAGTATGTGCATATTTGCCTCTAGTATTTTATATGTTCTAGCTGTTAAATATCTAAATATATATATATTTATACATATACATATATATATATGTACACACACACACATACACACTTAATTTTATATCTTATTTCTAGGACTCGTGATCCTGAAACTGTGGTCAGTGAAACCTACACTTGGTTTTCAACATTTGGATTCATACTTCCCCTGGCTGTGATATGAAATATATTTTATAGAAAGTTGTATTATACTTCTATATGGAATTAAAAACTAGGGGGAAATGAGTAGCCCATCCTCTTTGCCCAAGAGCCTTGCTTTTAGTCCTCACTGAGTAAAATATAAAAGAATCATCTTATGGGAACCTAAAAAATCATGGTAGCTAACATTCACTAACGTCTGTTACACGCCAAGTACTAAGTACTCGCCATACCTTCTTGCATTTCATCCATGCAGGCTTAAGAAGTAAGTTGGTGTATTATCCCTGTTTCACGAATGTGGAAACTAAGACTTCTTTAAGATCCTTGCC